GGGCACCTGTAATAGCTCGCCCGATATTACCATCGCTAGCGGTGGTCTGATAAATAGCATAACCTGGCGACCTATGCTAACTCTCGCACCAGACCATCTGCCCATAATTATCTCGATCGAGAAACCTCCCGATATTATTCCTATATACAACCGCACCTTCATTAACTTTAACAAAGCTAACTGGGTCGGCTTCACAAATTTACTGAGAGCACCTTCAACGCACTACCCGTTCCTACGGACGTCATCGTTGGCGAGCATCAATTCCGCAAGGTAATCGCTGCTGCCACTGCTCGCTTCATACCGGCTGGAAGAATCGCTGAACTCCGCCCTAATTCCAGCCGAAACAGTTGTAGTAGCAATCTAGAAGCTCCTCAACCACCAGCGGGAATTTCCGTGACCTCCATGCTGACGACTGCACGATATTGACGTTGGGCAATGGAATCGATGGCATGTGCTCATAAGTAAAAAGCTATCTCTCCGACATTTCTCGCTTCTTCTATACAAGGAGTCTGACAACATTTCAGTCGATGGCACAAAAATTCCGACAGTCAACAACCCTAAACTTTTAGGCGTTACATTAGACAGTCTGTGCTCCTTCACTCCTCATACTACCGCGATAACTGCCAAAGTACAGAGCCGCAACAAAATCCTCAAATCGCTTGCCACCAGCTCTTGGGGAAAAACAAAGAAACGTTATTGGATGTAGTGCAACGCAGACGAAAAAGATTCAGACTTGTCAAAACACTGCACTCCGGACTAACAAGGGATGCCTCTTGATGTCCCCAATGGAACACCTGCACAGTGAGGCCCTTATGCTTCTGGTAAAGGAACATAACGAGCTCCTCTCCAAGTAGTTTCTGCTGGGGTTTTTTTTCGCAGAAATCACCTCTGCAGTCGTCTGCTTGAGGCGGAACCGCCTCCTGGGAACAGCAAGAGGTCCTTCCTTGATTACGGCGACGACATCAGACAGTACGCCGACCGGACTTCGAACGTAACGAACTTTAGACAAGCACTGACCGCCATTCACAGTGGAGACATCAACACCTTCATCGACTCCCTCTCAGTGAGTGGCGTAGAGCTCGAGTTGCCTCGTGAAACCAGAGTGACCCTTGCGCAACTTCGTCCTAGATATTGTAGCAGGTTAAACAGGTTAAACTCCTACATATCCCGAATAGACCCAGACATTCGAAACAAATGTCCTGCGTGCAACAAGTCTCCGCATGATATTGTACTAACCACTGCTTTGCATGCCAACAAACCCAACTCATCTAACACCCTTTTCCCTATGGTTCGACCCCGTCGAAACAGCTCGTTTCATGGGCCTCCCGTTAGATGACCTCGACGACAACCAAACTATAACTTATCATCCAAGCGGGGACTATTTAACCGTTACAACAACAACAACAGGCTTACATCAGTCGACAACAAGCTCAACACCAAACTAAACCTACCCATGAGCAAAGATGATATATTCACGGAAATGTCTGAACGGAAACGTTATTGTGCTGAACATTCCTGAGTCAGACAAAGCTGTGGGTAAAGACCGTTTAGAGGATGACAGGGCGAATTTAGTAGCTGCTCTGCCTCCTAGCTTCATGAGTGTTTCTACTCAACTCAAGTTACGCGGACTTGGACGACATACACCGGGACGTACACGTCTTCTTGGCGTCACTACTCGCTCAGCAGTCGACGCACTCTCTATCATCAAGTATAGACCTCCGATGGAAACACAAATGTCATCTTTAAGGCTGATCTCACCCCTTCCCAACAACAGCGCCTAAAAAACCTGCGACTGGATCTAGACTATGGTGAAAGGTGGTGACGACAGCATGACAATGAAATATATTCATGGTGTGCCTAAGATAGTGAAACGAATTTTCGCTCGACGAGCAAGAAGAAAGTATCCTACGTCCAGCTATACTATCAAAACGTACGAGATCTGCGCACAAAACTCAGCGCCTTTCAGACCACAAAGGCAGCTAACGTTTGCATCACTGAGTCTTGGCTTCACTCATCTATGCATGATGGTGAAGTCATTGATTTAACTTATTTACCGTAAAGACCGTATATCTCAAGCTAGTGAACAAGTGCGTGGTGGTGGTGTTTTCATTGCCTGTAAGCGTTATCTCCATACTGAGCCAATCTCTATTGCAAACAATGATTTAGAGCAAATTTTTATCTGTGTCGAGGGTGCCTCACGTGACATAATCATCGGCCGTGTTTTTATACCTCCTCAATCACCTTACGAGATCTTTGATAACTACCTAGCCACCATTTCATTCATTATGGACAAATACCAGACATCCAAATTTCTGATAATCGGCGATTTTAACCTTCCAAGTAGTTCCCCTTGCTCAACTGTGCTCAACGGAATTATATTCTCAACGCTCGTAACTCTGCCCTTGACTTATGTTTCAGTGATATTGATTCGTATCCAGAGCACTCACTCGCTCTGGTCTTAGAAGATAAATATCATCCTGCCCTGGATATCACGCTCAACTTCCAGCCTGGACTGGTCCCAAAGAACTCTTCTTCCTACTTATTCAAAATGGCTAACTACGCTGAGCTCAACACCTTCTACCTGCGAACAAATTGAAGGGGTAAACCAGTTCGCTCCAATACATACGCATAAACACAGTAGCTTCCCATCTTGGTTCTCAAAAGATCTCATTCACAAAATTAAATTGAAGAAGTCAACGCACGTGTTGTATAAGATAAGAAAAACTAAGTCAAATTATTATCGGTTCAGCAAACTGAGATTTGATTGCAAAAGGCTGAGTTCCGAGTGCTACAAGAGCTACGTAGACAACGTTAAAAGTAAACTTAAATCGGATATTAAAGTCTTCTGGAATTTTGTTAAAGCCAAAAACCGCTGCAGCAGTGATAAACGTCCATACATGTTATGAGACGATCGGTCGGCTGACTCCATGCCTGAAATCTGCAACCTTTTTGCTTCTTTTCTCCCCAGCATTTATGTACCAAACAACTGCTACGACGCAGATGCAGCTAATTTCAACCCGGGATCGCAATGCACGCATATGAACGATCTGATAGTATCTTTCGACGAAGTACTTAAACAGCTTCTTGCACTCGACCCCAGAAAGGGTGCTGGACCTGATGGTCTACCCAATATATTCCTAAAGAAATGTCCGATTGGTCTATGTGAACCCTTGACACATATATTCAGTGAATCCCTTAGCCGTGGTGTCTTTCCATCATACTGGAAATTATCATACATAACCCCAATACACAAGGACGGATCAAAAGCGATGATCACCAATTATCGTCCCATCTGTATTCAGTCCACCCTTGCCAAGTTATTGATGCTACCACAGCTATTACAATATTTTGAACACATCATAACCACCAAACAACATGGGTTCACTGGAGGCTGTATGCAGATGATCTCAAAATCTTCAGACCCATTGCCTGTATGACTGACATCTTAATGCTACAGCAAGATATTGATACTCTTGGTAATTGGTGCCGTGTGAATAAACTTGACCTCAACGTCAACAAATGCGTTGCTATATCTCTCACCCGCTCGTACTCACCAATTCATGCAAACTACAAGATCGACGGCCGGGAGATTTTAGAGGTTGAAGACGTAAAAGACCTGGGCATGATAGTTGATAATAAGCTCACCTTCTCTAAACATATTGATAAAATCACATCCAAGGCATTCAACACCCTCGGGTTCATTCAAAGAAAACGGTATAGATTTCAGCAACCCCTATACATTGACTAGACTTTTTAATCTTTGGTTCTACCTGTCCCTGAATATGGGTCAGTTATCTGGTCCCCTTTCTCGAATGTAATAATGGCAAAGTGGAAAAGGTGGCAAATTTTGCAAGTCACTGGTAATGCTTTTTTTAGGTAATACAAAGAATCGTTATATCGATAAACTATAATACTATGTTTAGATTATCATGAAATTATGATTTATGACTCCTTCTGTAGCTGAGCGGTTTTAGACCCATATTTATTAGGTATATCACGACAAGTTCGGTATAGACAAATATAAGTCGCTTTTGTTATCTTAAATATCAACGGATGGAGAGTGACCAACATTTATGTATGTATATTCTGGTTATCGTAGATAGCCACAAGTTTTCAAAGAGCAAAATATTGCAAATAACTTAATTAGTAAGAAACCACAACATACATTTTGAAAGAGGTATTTATCATAAATAAATTGCTATAAGTGGAGAAGCCGTTGCCATATCTTCATTTAATCTGTTTTGAAACAGTATAATGTGGCAGCCCAAAATTTGGGTCACTTAAATTACCTAAATAATATCTGCTGCATAATCTCTAAAGCTAATTACACGTTGGTGTATGTAAACAGGTACATAAATATGTGCGTGCACAAATCTTAATTTTACAACTGTAAAAATATACTTTAGGGTGAGTCAAGAAACTAACTTATAAACTTTATGCGTTAAAATGAGCCTATATACAGAGAAAACAGGAAGGATTTTTAGCTTCATTCTAAAAGGTGTGGTTGAGCATTTAAATTTTTCAATTTAAATAACACGTAAATCTGTAAATCCGAGTTGAAAAGACTTTTATTGTAAACGGTTAAAAAATATTAATACATACATATATACGTATATATACATACATATATAAGTACATGCATGGCATAATGAGATCGCCATACGTGAGTTATCTTTGTGTCCCAACCGGACCAGTTTACTTTTTTCATACAATTATGTATGTGTTTTATGCTCTATAACAATCGGTGAAATAAAAGATTTCATCCTAAACGGTTTAAAAGTTATGGTATTTTTAATGAAGAAAGATTTTTTACGAGTTATTTCAATGGAAAACTACAAAGCTTCGCCGACACCTTTTGAAATTAAGCTAATATTTGGCCTTACAGGGATATTTTTTCTCTGTATATAGGTTTATTTAAATTTAAAATTCGATAGGATAGTTTTGGGCTCGCCCTAATGTACATGCTATATTTATGTATACATACTCGCCATATGTGTAAGTTAGCTTTGAGTACAACCGGACTAGTTTCATTGTTTTTTTTTAATACAATTATGTGTGCTTTTGCACAAGTTTCGCTCATCCGCTTTACTTTTAATCATTTTGCGAAAATTTGAAAGTTTCAGCTATTTTGCTTTGTTCAAAGAATGGGCTGATTTGACTTACCTGTAACGATCAATAGCTATAAGTAACGATCAATACTTAACTGATTGCCATGTCTTACCCCGGACGTTAGACGCGTTTCAGACTTTGTAAACGAAAGCCGTACAGTTATTTTACTTCTCTAATATTTTGTGTGTGTCCAAATGTATGCTGTTTCACGTTGCCTTACATTAGTATGTCTAGTGATCAATCTGCTTATTACTCTAACTTTGACTGAGATTGAGGCAACGGGCGCCCGTCGATATACGATATTACCAATCTATGGCATCTTTCAATCGGCTACTGCTAGTAATAGTGGGCTAAAATTGTTCTCTGGTGTACAAAACTTCCCTTCGGTAATTGTACCGCCAGCAGAAACACAAATCCACGTAGATTACATGCATCAAACGCATCCGTTCTATCAAAATGAGCCATTACCCAGCGATAAAGATGTTAGTAACAGTTTTAGGCGAAATTACGTTGATGAGATGCCAATACCAGCGGATGCAAATAAATCATTTCAAATTGTAAATGAGTGGAAATATTTAGATTTTGAATATCCGACCTATGCACAGCGCCAACAAGCCATCGCAAATAGGTGAGTTTCGTATTAAGATCTTACACAATTGTTGTGTTCGGTGAGGTCTTATATTCCAACTTAAGTCAGAATAAAAGCAATTGGTCTACTAGGATAATTATTGCTGACTCTACAGGTATTAAAATTTTCAGTTGATTAGCTGCACTTCATGGCATAGATAAAATGATCCGAAACTCCTCTCTTTGCCTTCTGAGAGAGCTCATGAACTTTCAGTGCTGCCAAGAAAAACCACGAGTTCATGAGCTACTGAACAGATGACAAGCAAAACAATGAACTATCACTAAGAATCCCGCAGAAATAAATTGCGAAATCAGTGGGTAATTTGTTAGATCAGAAATTTTGTTGACTTTTACGTATATTTGTAATCTTTATTTAAAGAGATTTAATACAGTTTTGTTTTTAAGAAAGAGCGGTATTTTGTCGCAGAGTATTCTTTTGCTTAGCAGTACCAATTGCCAATGTATATACTTATTTTGGTTAGAATTCCCTGCAAATGTTATGTAAACTTTGACTTCCGAATAAATTATCAAAAGATATTTGTTAATTGAGTATATAAAAAAGAAATAAGAATCATGTTTAGGTTATTTAAAACTTGTGTGTTTTGAAATATTAAAATATTTTGTTAAATTTAGTTTTTATCGTTAATTTTGAAAATCTTTTGTAATTAAAATATACATGTACTTATATTTAGAAGTCATATAGGATATCTAGCTTGTTAAACTAATTTTAATTATGTATATTTTTCTGTAAAATGGAAACCTAAACCCCCTAAACCCAAGAAATACATATAAAAATCTCAAAACTTATTTCTTCCCTTAATGGCTCCACTGTCAAATGTTATAAAAAATGTGGACTCTGACAGCGCTCTCTCAAATCAAAGAGTTTCGGATCATTTTATCCATGCTTCATGGTACACAATCAAACTATTCCCCAGCTATGTTATGAGCTCAAGGATTTGTGTTCTTGTTTACAGTAGAGGGATTAACAGTAATCGTTATTGCTAATTCCTCTATCGAAATTATCATGGATAATATTCTACATGATACATCTTATGTAGTAGCTAATTTCCACTACATATTAGCTGTCTTTGATTGGTCATTTCTCTGCTCTCTTGTCAAAAAATTTACATGTGATACCAACAACAAAGTTATCGAGTTGAATTGAAGCAGAAGAGTATGTACTTGTATCTCCTTATTAAAGTGGTATAACTTCTATCCTCAATGCTGCCAAATTTTATTTTACATATTTCTGCTCGCTTTTACTATAGTGAATGGTTGACAAATGAAATTATAAATTTCTTTTACTCTGGTATTTTTAAAACAAAAGACTTAAAATCAATTACAATAATTTATAGAAAACCAAAATAAATGATTACAGCGAAAATGTGAAAAAAAGATTTTCTCCACTAAGTAAAAATCATAACACTATTGCGTATGCGTCAGAAGGCATGTTTACGCATGGTTGCAAGACAAGTGCTGCCCATTTGTTTGAGTATCTGGTATAGTCTGTTCGAGTTGCTGGATATTAAAGTTTGGCGAATCAAAGACAGCTATTATCTATAGAAGCAGTACTCGCAATTATAGCCGGATTCGTACAGTGATAACCACTATTTCAGTTATTCCCAAACGCAATACTCGCTTTAATATTTGTTGAACAATTCCGATCTGAGAGCGTGATCCATTTAGGTTAGAAAGTCGCCATACTGTTAAGATTAAAAAACAGTTTAAGTACATATACATTGTAAACTACTTAAAGTGTGATAACTCACTAAATAAATACGTCAGAAGCATTAAATTTCACATCCTACATGAAACCGAAGTGTGGAGCGGGTGTCAAATCTGGACTATGGACGTGACACCGCCCACTTTTAGCTGAAATCCTATATCTCTGTAACTACTCGACCAATTTCAACCAAACTTGGTGCATAACATTATCCTGACATTATTATTACATTGTATATACCAAATGATCTTTAAATTTTACTTTTTAAATCTGGAACTAATGATGTTTTCGAAATAAAACTTTGCACAAGTAGAGCTTTTAAGATTTTCCATCTCACGTCTAAAAATTATCTAAATCAGACCATAACTTTTACAGCTCCTAGATATAGAATATGTGGATCCCAGTGTCTATGTATGGCTTATTATCGAAAATATCGCTTAATTTGTGACATCTTTTCATGATAATAATGTAATCAAATCTCAAAAATGGGTATAATCGAATCAATACTTCTCGTATACCTAATGCAGAAATTTTTGAACTTGCGGTTAACTTTATAGCGCATAATACCTATATGAGTTAACTTAAGGAAATTCAGAGAGCGTCTATTCCAAATAATTGTGTGTCCTGAAGCTCTAGCTCCCATGTACCTAATATACAAATTTTCAAAAATCTGGTTGTTTTGACGCCATAAATATATCAGTCAATTTGAGAGGCATCTTAATGATACTCAGAGAGCGTCTTGATAAAACCGAGTCAATATAAGAATTCAAACTTCCTGTTGAATTTATAGCGTATACAACTACCTATATCGGTCAATATGTCTTATCTTAGAAAAATGAAGTGATAATACATATATACATAGTGTATATACTTATACCTATTATATATACACTAGCTGACCCGGCAACCGTTGTTCTGCCATATATGTACGTTATTGTTAGGAAATATTTTTAAAAATATCTAACACTATGTTATAAGTGTGTGGGAATGTAATTACAATTGAAAGAGTAATGAAGATGAAATATATATTACATTTCAATTATTGACGGCTACCTACATATATGCATCGAAAATAGTTCATATTTCTACTATTAATTATTTCAATTTAAAATAAACAAAGATTAACCTCGCAACGCAATGGAGTGTACAATATTTTTGGTCAGTCTGTCTTTAGCGAATACAAACAAACTTGATGGTTTTCTCGCGTGGGAACATTCCACTTAACGTTGTCCGTTGGAATAGCATGGTGAATCCAAATCTAAGCCGTGTGAGTTATTCATCATTGCGAATGTTAATCTAATTGGAAATTGAGTGCGTTTGAATTCAATTGGCACATCTATAATAACAACTGTTTTATTTGAATTAAATCCATTGGTGTCCCCATATTTTGCTGCCAAAATCAATCTTTCTGCCAGTCAATCTAATATTTTATATTTTGTACCTATATTTTATACCTCCTGTATTTTCATGTACAGCTAGTTTGCGATTACCAACATCTAACAATTGTTATAAAAAAGTTTCGGCACATAAACGTTTATGTTTACTGTAAGTTGAATTTTTTCAACATTACGCAACAGTCTCGATGATTTTAAGCAAGCGTTGATTTCATCAGCTGACGTTGCATGTGAAATAACGTGAAGTGTCTGTCTGAAATCACCTGAAAGAAGTTACAGAATGACGCCAAATAGTTTGCGTTATTTTTTATATCTTTCGCTATCTTATCAAATACTTCAAGCTAATGTTTATGAGCCATTGTGCATTCATCCCAAATGATAATTTTACACTGTTTCAGCACCATGGCCATGGACGATTGTGTTTTTATGTTGCGAATTGCATCCGGGTTATTTTGAATGTTTAATGCCTTAGGCCCGTTTTCTCAATGTTTGTTTAATATTGTACCGATTTCCTCGATAAATCGTCTACCTTGTAACTCATTCTTGAGTTCGATCACTGGATTGTTAAATAAAAGTCCCAATTTAATGCTATACACTTATCTCTATTTTTTATTATTGCTTAATATTCGAGTTTACAACTTATTGCACAATCTGGCAGCCCAAAAATTACTCTTGCTGGAGTCTGCCCTGTTGTTTCATGTACAGCAGACCGATACGCCAACAGGAACAAGGATATTTGGGTATCCCAATCTTTTTGATACTTGTCCATAACTTTTATCAAATGTTCTTCCAAAGTTCGATTGAATCGTTTCACCATGCCATCGGACTGCGGATGTAGTGCAGTTGTACAGATTCCGGATACCCACTTGCTGGCGCATCTCCAGAATTAGAGCTGACTTAAAATATCTCCCTTGGTCAGAATGTAATGCTATTGGAACACCATACAGCAATGCACTCGACACAATTGGCGAACCACTCCGAAACTGATTGTCTACAACCAACCCAATAAAATCTTTTTTTTAATTTCTCCAAGGTTTTAGTGATACCCATGTGTCCTCCACTTGGACCGTTGTGCAGCTCTTTTGGAACAATCATCAGAGTTCGGGAACTTTGCCCATCTTCGCTTTCCCATACGCGATGCAAGCAGACGGACACTATATTTAAACTATCCCATTGTGCTCAATAAGCCTTTGCGACTGGGCTTTCTGCAGCTATTTCTTCTCTCGCTGGACGTTTATTCATCTCGAATCCGTGTATCACACTTTTCAAATCTGGATCTTCTTGCTGACGTTGACGTAGCTCCTGAGGATACCAGTATGGTGTTATAGCCTTTAATCGGACATTGATAATGTCTTCTTTGGTCTCAGCATTTGCGCAATATTTGCATTCCAAACTACAGGGACGGCGGGACATTGCATCCTAATTTCCATGACCACTGCCTTTGTGATATTCTAAAGAGAAGTCGTAACCTTGGAGTCTCCCGATCCACCGTGCCAACTGTCCTTCTGGCTTCCTAAATTGTAGAAGCCATTTTAATGCTGCATGATCTGTCCTCACCCGAAATCGCTGGCCATAAAGGTACTTATGAAAATGTTTGATGCACTTCACCAACGCCACTAATTCCCTCCGAGTAACACAATTATTTATCTCTTGCTTGCTTATGGTCTGGCTGTAATACGCAACCACTTTCTCATGCCCATCAATGACTTGTGATAGAACGAATCCTACTGCAAATCCACTAGCATCCATATCCAAAATAAACGCTGATCCTGTAACCGGGTATGCTAACATTGACGCAGTACTTTACTTCAGAGATTGGAAAGTCCTCTCCTATTCTTTATTTCATTCAAAAACTCTGTTCTTTTTTGTGAATTAATGGAAGATACTACCTACGCTGGCAAAATTTTGAACGAATCGTCAATAATAAGTACACAGTCCAAGGAAACTCCGCATTTTATGTACATTTTTAGGAGTGGGCCAATCTTTTACTGTCTTTATCTGTTCATTAGCTGTGCGAATTGCCTCCATTGTCACTTGTGTCACTGTCATGTTGCTATCTTTCTTCTTCACCAGTACTACAGATGAACTGTGTTAATAAAATGTTTTACAACCTTGGTTCTTCCAGATTTGGAATCGACTTTATTATATATGAATGAATATCTAAGTTGATTAGCCTTATTTTGATCGTTTGTCTATAGTTCCTTGGTCCATGCGTTAATTTCGCTCGGTATGTCGTTTTCGTCCATGGAATCTTCCTAAATGCCTATTTCGCAATTTATCACGGCCTTAATCTCTTGACACTGCCTTAATATAACTTCTTTGGAAAGTTTTATTAGTAACTTGCACTCATTAAGTACTCTTACTGGAACATATTTATCTTGTCTTGTCATGGTCAGAGTTTTGCCTATAAGTAAGTTTGGTGTAGATTTTTTTTTGGCATTAACAATCCACAACTTGTTTGGCCCATAGTCTTCATCTATTTCTGCCCAAATAGCTTCTGATTTTGGTGGAACCTGCTGGCTCTCTGTTGTTATCACTCGTATTCCATTAACAAAGGTCTGAATTTTCGGGTCCTCGATGAACTCCACGGATTTATGTGCATAAGCTAAGTGAGCTAACTTCTCAATCTCTGTAGAAAACTCCTGCAGGTACTCACTGGCTCTCTGGCGGCGATTTTGCAACTCGATTTGGAAGATCTGCTTCCTGTGCTCACTACCATACCGTCTTTCTAACGCACCCATTCGCATTTCATAACTACTCTCTCTACGATGGTTTGCAATATCTTCGCTGCAGATCCTTTTAATGCAGCGAACAATGCAACTACTTTACCTTCAGAGTTCCAATTATTTGAAGATGTCGTCTTTTAGAATTGAAGCTTAAAAACATGGAACGGAACTATGCCATCAAAGGATGGAGGTTTCACCTTGGCAGAAGCTGACGATCTTTCAATTCATCCACTTCAGTTTTAATTTTATCCCGCTCTTCCGAAATCTGTGAGGACACCTATGCTATTTGTGAGGTCACCTGCGATATTAGTGCATCCTTCTCTTTCAACTGTGAGGACAACTGTGCTGCTCCTCCAACTGCGTTGACAACCGCGTTTCTAACTGCGACATTTGTAGGGTCATACGCGCATCCTGTTCTTTAAACTGTGTCGATATTTGCGTTGATATCTGCGACATTGCAGTCAAAATCATATTAATATCCATAGGGTTCGATGAGCGAGTATCTTTACCTTGTAACTCACTCTTGAGCTCGATCACTGGATTGTTAAATTAAAGTCTCAATTTAATGCTATACACTAATCTTTATTGTCTAATTTCAACAACTTAACACTGATAGCTTGTTTTCGAGTTTACAACGTTTTGCTTATAGCTAAATTTCTCTTTACACGGCAACACTCTAAATAGACCTGTGTTTGCTGCACAATCCGGCAGCCCTTATATAGTAGATCTTTAACAAAACTGCGCCACTTGAAGGTTCTGGAAACTTCGAATTCGCTGTCTAGTTGCTTGTGGCAATTTATTATCGATTCGATTTTGTTTTATTAAAATTAAAAAAATTAATTTCGTAACTATTGCGATTCAAAGTCAACATTTTATTTTTATATTTATTGGTAACTAAAAGACCCCGGCCACGCCTTGCTGTGGCTAAGGTATAATTAAATTATATTGAGTAAGCTGTTTACTCTAGTAAAATGTTATTATAAAAATTAATTTCGGCATTTTTTGCTGTCTATATAGCTTGATTTCCGAGCCAGTTATGATTGAAATAATTATTTTGTGCGTCTGGGAAAATACGGCCAATTAATTTATTTTGTCCGTGTACAATAGTGCTGAAATTGTCTGTCAGTTTAGGGCATTTCGTATTTGGTTGCAGTTAGTAAATGCTCAAAAATGTTATAAACATTAAAAATACATTATTTTGATCGCCAACAAACTTTGCAGGATCACGGCCATCTTGAAGATCGTCCAAAAATTCCATTGAAATCGGTCCAGCCGTTTCGGAGTTTATAAAACATTGGAATACACCTGCATATTATTAAATATTTTATTATATCATTACTAAGAAGTGGTTCAGGTGGCTTCATCAATGGTGACAAAACAACTTTACCGTTCGAACAGCTCATTCCAGGGGATTCTTTCGCGAACTTCAAAGCACCACAATGTGAAAAAACTTTGTTCATTGCACTGATCACTACGTCCTTGTGATTTCTGTAATCGGCATCCCTATTGTAGTTGAACGCTGCTAGTTTTAAATCTATTATTTTTCGTAAATGAACCATTCGGTTACGATTGGCATCAAGTCTTTGCGTACGTTTCTGGATTGTCTCAGTAGCTCGTGATGAAGATTCTTTGACACGATTTTGTTGAAGCCGTGATTCACGCTCTTCAAACGTTTCCATATTTCTACTTGTAGATATTCTGTTGCGATTTTTCTCAAGGCGTAACTCACGTTCCTCAGCTGTTTCATTGATCTTTTTTTCGTAATTTTTTTTGATTTAGAGGTTTTTTTACCAATACTTTTTTTTTTTGGTGCCATTTCTTATTTATTACAATAATTCTGTGAATAAACATGATTGGTGAAGAAAAATACAATTCCGTTGTAATAATCAATTTATAACGTATCAGTAAACGAATACATTCGCGGCGCTACCACTTACCTTGAATTCTTAAAAATCCTTAATTACAAGTATTTATTGTTGTACTTTATTATACTTTAATATGTTTCATAATGACGTATAGTATATTCACAACGCACACACAAATTTGGGTTATAAAACAAAAGAATATCATCATAGTAAATAAAAACTATATTTGACAGTTCAAAAAGAAAAGTGCTCCGATCATCACCAAACCTTACGGGATTACTCGCCAGGTCAATCTAAAGATTTCCTGAAAGTTACATCTCTAAACAACGAAATGTAACAGCTTTGTTTTCTATTGAGAGATTTTTGTGACTGGCATGTACTGAATTGCAAAATCATCTCAAGGTACAAAAATTGTTCTTAATTTAAAATCTCAAATTTGGAAACTTGTAACTGTATCAATGTCCTAAATTCCAATATAAGTTAAGCATTTACGAGATATTTATCGTCAAACATCAATGCCTATCAAGGCAAACACACAAAAAAAATGTTGCATTTATTCTGCCCTATGTCCGGACTGTCAAAGATTTGTGTTCTTTTCTCGGAATGTTGCCTTCCAACCTGAAAAAAGTGAAACATTTTCTGCCCTTTTCAAAGGGTAAGGGTGGGAGTTGCCCACGCGATGTTTATTTTTTGTTTTTGATATTCTATTATTGATATTTAGTTTTTTAAATCAAGCTTTCTACTAATTATAATGAATCGATCAGTTTTGTTAAACTTAATAATAAATATTGTAAATCAGTTAGTTGGCCTCTTGTTGTTCTTTTGTCATGTAAAAAATGGAACAGATAAATAATGTCCGTATAATGACGCAACATTTTCATCGATAAAGGAAAACACTATAAGTGTGTATATGATCTATAGTATGAATTAACGATTTGTATATGATTTTAATCCATGCGAAGTTTGATCCTTGCAAATTTTGAGAATATAAAATGTTCGGTTACAACAACCTTTAATTGTTTTATCGTATATTTTTAGCGATTTTGTTCCAGAAAATAATTTGCCATTGGGCATAGATGTTTACAGCGACCGCATGTTTATTACCACACCTCGTTGGAAGGACGGCGTACCATCAAGCCTCAACTATTTGCCGTATCCGCCGAAAGAACGTAGTCCTGCCTTACGCCCCTATCCGAATTGGAGCGCCCACAGCAGTGTCAAAGAACTGAACTGCGCTAAACTTATTTCGGTATATCGTTCCTCAATTGACTCGTGCGGTCGCTTGTGGGTTATTGATTCGGGAATAGTCAACGCCACAGTTAATTTAAATCAGATTTGTCCACCAAAAATTGTGGCTTTTGATTTAGCTACCGATAAAATGATTGTTAGCTTTGCGCTGCCGGCAGACCAAGTAAAACAAGATTCATTGCATTCGAATATTTTGGCCGATATTCAAGACGATCAGTGCGAAGATGCCTACATTTATGTAACGGATGTGTGGCGCTTTGGTATTGTCGTCTACAGTTTGTCTAAAAATCGGAGTTGGCGTGTAACTAATTACAACTTCAATCCCAACCCCATAGCATCCGATTTTAATGTTTATGGATTAAATTTTCAATGGTTGGATGGCGTTTTCGGCATGAGTCTGTCGACTCGAAAAACGCCTTCGTCTGGTGAGCGCACATTATTTTTCCATCCAATGGCTAGTTTTAAGGTAAAAATTTATACAATTTTCTTTTCTTATACTAAATTACTGCTTTATATTTATCATTTGAAGGAATTTGCTATTTCGACCAGATTGTTGCGTGACGATAAACTATGGCCAACAAGCGCTCAAAAATTATCAAAATACTTCGTTGAAGTTGGCGATCGCGGAGATCTTGGACAGTCCTCTGCAGCAGGTATTGCACGCAATGGCATAATGTTTTACACACAGGTTCATCGGGATAATGTGGCTTGTTGGGATACCACGAAGCCATATGTGCGTGGCAATTTGGCAATGTTGTTAAGTAGAGGAAAAAAATTTATACAATTTCCCAATGATTTGAAAGTAGACCAAGAAGAAGAGCAAGGAGTTTGGGTTATGAGTAATAAACTGCCAATCTATTTGTATGGACAGTTGGATTACAGCGATATTAACTTTCGTATTTTGCGAGGTGGTGTAAATGATATTGTTCGTGGCACTATATGTGACACACGAGTGCAAGAGGCACATTCTAAGATCCCTGTTGTAACCCAGTTACACGAAGGCGAATGTTACTAACACTTCAATGGAGTTATTATGTTCTTAACTATAAATGACAACCAAAAGTACGTTTCCGTTTTGCAGTTTTTGACTAATTTTTTTTGATACAATACTATTAACAACGTAAATTAGAATTGAATAACAATGTAAGCTACATTTCAAAAACATTAAAATAAAGGTGTTTACAAGTATATATGTTTACAGGTATTTGCAACAATATGTAAATATATTACTCTATATTATAACGTTTAAATTTTTTCAATATTCCTTTCTGTTTAGAAAATATTGCCTTTTTTCGAAATGGTAGATTGGATGATTTTTGGTCAAATAATCGGCCATAAGCGTCGATCGATGAGACGGCGCATTATCGTGCACGAAACGCAACTTCTTCCATCTTCGCGATATTCGGGCCGAACACGTCGAGTTTGGCGCACCAAACGCTTCAAAACTCCAAGGTAGAATACCGCATTAACGTTTTGGCTGGGTGGAACAAATTCTTTGTGGACAATACCCTTGTCATCATAAAAGCAAATCAGCATTGTCTCCACTTTTGACTTCTCCAGGCGCGATTTTTTGGGTTTCGGCTCATCGTCATTTATGTCCTCACGACCACTTTGAAAACGTTGAAATCACTCGTGCACTCTGCTGCGAGATAGGAAATCATCGCCATAAACTTGTTTCATCAATGAAACCGTTTCGGTAAAAGTTTTACCAATTTTAAAACAAAATTAAATGGAAAATTTTTTCCATAGAAGCGAGTCAGCTGATTGCTCTCTTACAACGTATTTTATAGTAATTAAAAAATAAATCTTAATATATGTATTTCAAATATTCTTAAATGAAACTAAAATTCTAGTTGTGCTTTAATTTTCTTCTTTTACATAATGAAAAATATTGTATAACTGAAAACTAGATATGTGCAAAACTATGCATAAAAATTGAGCAACATTGCTCTTATGTGAAAATAAGAGAATAACAGATTTCTATATTGCCACTACGGGCATAAAGTTTGGCAAATTTCATTTGATACGAACAAAAAGTACGAAAGGGCAACACGGACCAACCGTAAGCAACATTCGGAACAATTATAAGTGCTCGGGAGCTCTGGTTATTTTGGCTTTTCCCTACTCGACGCAAGCAGCCACACACAAACTTTAAACTTCTCCGCTCTGCCCAATATACTTTTGCGACTGCATTACTTTTGCATGCATTACACCTTATAAATGTGGATCTTCTTGCAATGACTCTTCCACTTCAGAATTAATTTTATCATGCTCTTCCGACTGTGCCATATATGCGTCTCCTGCTCTTCCGATTGGACCCTTGTACTGGTATACACTTTTTCTTCTCTTCCAACTGTGAGGAAATCTGGGCTGGTATACACGCATCCTGCTCTCCCGCCTGCTCTTCCTGCATTAAACTGTGCGCCTAAAACTGTAATGACAAATTCTGCTTATTCGCTGATGTTTATAATGACACCTCTGCCATTCGTGATGACAACTGCGCCATTTGAGTTAACATTTGAGCTGTCATCTGTGACATTGCAGCCAAAATCATGTTTATGTCCGTAGCGTTTAAAGAGCATAGAGCCCATCCTTTTTTTCTGCATTTCTTCGTTGTCTCCCTCTTATTCCAATTGAAAGACATAATCCTCAACATGATTGTTTTCTGCTTCCATGACTTGTCGTAACTGTGACTATAATTCGGACCTTACTCCATTTGTTGCCACGTTGCTCCAGCTCTTTTTTCAGTTCTGGAATCTTCAGATCGTTAATCTTTGTCATTTTAAAACTATTCACTCTTTGGGAATTTATTTGACAATCCCACTTCAGACACCAATTGTAACGGATTTTTCGATAAATCGTCTACCTTGTTACACTTATCTTTATTTCTAATCCAAACAATTTGACTCTTCACTACTCATTATCAATTGCTCTTTACACGGCAGCACTCGAACTGGAACTGTGTCTTCTGCACAATCCGGCATCCCTTATATAGTAGATCGTTAACAAAATTTCGACATTCGAACATTCTGGCAACTACGAATTTTGCTGTCGATTTTCTCTGAAACGCTGAACGGATTTTGATGAATTTTAGTGTGCTTATCTGGTAGGTATGAGAATCCGTTAGTATCTATTTTTTATAAATCTAAACATCAATGGTGGTTCAACCCAATTTGTATTATTTTTTTTCTTTTTTGGACAAATATTTCTGTTTTTATTTTTTCATGATTCACCAATGAAAAATACATACAATTCTAAATTTTCACCCTTATGCGATCAACTTTTGATTTTTAATCGCAATTTTTATATTATTCCGCTCTATCCACAGATTCAAAAGATGGCAATGGAACATAATAATTGTAGTATACCATAATTATCATGTATAGTTCTATCAAGCAATTAGTTATCATTCAGTGACGCAATGGACAATAAAACATTGATTGCTATTAAGGATCACCCAATCAGTCATTTCGGTATGTGTCCACCAAATCAAAGTCCATCTGATTTAATCAACACAGATATAAATCGTGAAGTGCAGTATGATACTGTCGAATAAAAAAACAATCATCCATGGCCATAGTGCAAAAATAGCATAAAATTGTCATTTTTTCATCCCAGAAGGCAATATGGCACACAAACATTTCCGTTATTCCATGTATAACAAACGCTGATGAAATCAACGCTTGCTTCATCGCGACTGTGGTGTAATGTTGAAAAATACAACTGACAGTGAGCATGTGCGTTCACATGCTTTAAGATCCATCTGTCGAAACTTTCTCAAAGCAACTGTTTTTTGGCAATAGCAAATTTACTGATATCCGCACAATTAATAATTTACAAAATGCTCTTATCGCTCTGATATACACACCAAATACCTATAAGATTGGCTGAAAGAAATATTGATTTTGGTAGTAAAAATTTGGACTTCAATGGATTAAATTCAAAGATAAAACAGTTGTTGCCAGGGGACTTGGTGTCATACAAATTTATCGATGGTGTTGCCGATGCCAACGAAGCTGTGAATTAACCAATTGGATATGCCGGGCATGACACCGCATCATTTTCAACTGAACGTTGGATCTCCAGTTATTTTGCTTCGTAGTTTGAACGGTCCACGGCCTTGCAATAGCACAAGATTTGTCATTAAAAACTTATTGAAAAACCATTAAAAAGTTTTGAATGATAAGTTCCGAGGTGAAAATGTACTGCTGCCACGAATCTTACAGATGTGCCAATTGAATTCAAACGTACTATATTTCCGATTAAATTGGTATTAGCTATGACGGTTCATAGCTCAGAAGGCCAAGCTTTTCTGTTTGTAGCTTAAATTGGGGTACATCATGTTTTTTCCACGAACAACTTTATGCGGCATGTTCTCGCGTGAGCAAACCATCCAGTTCGTTTGTATTCGCTAAAGACGGACAGACCAAAAATTACGATGTATAGAGGTTGGTTGAAAAGTTTCTGCGCTCGAAATAAAAAAATACTGTTTTTGGTAGGAAATATATTTTTTATCCAATTCAAAATAATCTCCCTTAACTTCAATACACTTATTGCAATGATCCTTAAATCATTTTATGCCATCCGTATAATGACTTTTCGGAAGCTCTGCAAAATACCCGTCAACGGCTGTAATAGCTTTTTCATTCGACGAAAAATGGTTTCCACGAAAGAATGGTTTCAGGTTTCTGAAGAGGTTGTGGTCGCTGGAATCAAATCTGGTGCTGGGAGCAAATCGGATGCTCAAGCAATTCGTACTTTAATTCGTTGAATTTTGTAATTGTCAAAACACCTTTGTAAGCAGGTGCATTGTCTAATTAAAAAAAAATTATTTTTTTGTGCTGCAAACCAGGTCTTTTCTCACGAAAGGCTGCATTTGTTGATTGTTTAACCTCTCTGCAGATAATCAGTCAACAAAACTCCTTTTGCATGACAAAAACCTGATACCATAACCTTCTTTGGGGCTGAACAACCAGCTTCAATCCACCTTAAACGTTCTTGTTTTAATTTAGGATCATGCTGGTCCAAGTCTCATCCATAGTTTTAAAACGACGCAAGAAATTGGTTTTATTTTGATTAAAACCTTCCAAATTATGCTGTGAAATTTGTTTTCGATCCAATTTTTGTTGAATTGTGTGCGGCACTAACTTTCCAAACAGCTTTTTCATATGTAATTCTCCAGGTAAAATATGAAGTACTCGTTCGTCTGAGAACCTATGGCATTAGGAACTTCACGCTTTGTCCTCCGTGTCTTCACTAACAACATTATGCACTTGCTCATTGATTTCTGGTGTGGTTGCGGTTTTTGGTCGTCCTTCGCGTGTATCGTTTTTAAGCCTAGTACGACCACGTTTAAATTCACCATCCCAAAGCTCAACGGTGCGTTTTGAAGGTGAGGACTCCTTATACACTTCTACCAATTTTTCATAAATTTCCTTTGCTTTTAAAACTTTCAAAACAAAGAATCTAATTTCTGAGCGATATTAAAGAGAGAAGCAACTTTTCAACCAACCTCTAGCTATCAGTAACTGTAATTTAATAAATTAGGAATATTTTATTTGCTTAAATAAAGTATACTATAGTTGTCTACAACCCTTTAATCCTTTCAATTATAATTCCATCCCTCGCACACTTATAGTGTTAGCTGTTTTTTTTCTAACAAATAACATATATGTATAATATGACAAAACGTTTGCCGGGTCCGCTAGTATGTTATAATATTTAAGTATTGAAATAAGGCAAAGTTGTAAGTTATTTTTAAATATTTGACGTTCACGCCTTTGGAAAACCTAACTCAAAAGTCCAATGCTTTGAATTAGAATAAAAAGGCATTGCCTTCTGATTAAATATCTATTAAAATAAAGTTTCAGCATAATCGGTTGTATGGGAGATATATGTTTTTAAATAAAGGCAGGATACCGGAAAATAAAAAACTTAACAATCGGTAATATGGGAGATAAATGTTATAGTAGTCCGATCTGGCCGATTCCCGATAGCTCAAAACTGATGAAGAAAATTTTATAATCCCAGGGTTCGGCATGAGAGGAACTGCGACTGTGCAGATGAGCACGAAGTTAAAGACACCCAGTGGGAACTCTATTGCAGTAAATTTTGTGAATATTTTTATACTCTCGCAACCTGTTGCTACAGAGTATAATATTTTTGTTCACCTAACGGTTGTTTGTATCACCTAAAATTAATCGAGTTAGATATAGGGTTATATATATATAAATGATCAGGATGAAGAGACGAGTTGAAATCCGGGTGACTGTCTGTCCGTCCGTCCGTCTGTCCGTCCGTCTGTCCGTCTGTCCGTCCGTCCGTGCAAGCTCTAACTTGAGTAAAAATTGAGATATCTTTATGAAACTTGGTAGACATGTTTCATGGTACCGTGAGACGGTTGGTATTGCAGATGGGCGTAATCGGACCACTGCCACGCCCACAAAACGCCATTAATCAAAAACAAATAACTTGCCATAACTAAGCTCCGCAATAAGATACAAGACTGTTATTTGGTACACAGGATCACATTAGGGAGGGGCATCTGCAGTTAAAATTTTTTTTTTTTAAGTGGGCGTGGTCCCGCCTCTAATAGGTTTAATGTGCATATCTCCTAAACCGCTAATGCTATAATAACAAAATTCACTGTGCGGAGAGAGCAAGAAATTGCAACTGGTAATGTGCCGATATTTTACCGCATGCACTTATGTATATATGTATCAATCTATAATCTTCTACACGTATATTAAAATAGATAAAATTGAATTTATGTATGTATATGGATTGCTCTTGGCAATTATATAAAATGTATTTTCATATATATATGTTTTCAACAACATATGTGCATATGAATATGTGGTATATTGTAGGTACGTATGTAAGTTTGTAATTGTACGTATAAATGATGTATAGGATATATACATGTATACTTGTGTTTTAAAATACGATATGTGATATACTTGTACGATATTAAATATTTAATATAGAAAAATACATATTCATGTATACGTAATTATGCATGCTGTATATAATTTTATATATGTAATTTTTATATATACGTTAGAAGTAAATGTAAGTACTCCTTTTTGTACATATATTATTATTATTATTATTTTTTTTTTTTTTATTTAACTTCGTTTATTGTATATATGTATGTATATTTATTTTGCCTTTTATGCTTTAAGTTTGACTTTTCCTTTCCTCACATATATTTCGCAATCCTGCTTACTGCTTAATTAAGCGTAAGGGGTATTGCCGGAAAAATTTGTAAGTATTGAAATACTTAAATTTGGGTTTTATTTTGTATATTGTGTTTAAATACACGAAGGTAAGCAGGTACAGGTAGTCAATTATTATATATTATAAACATATATTTATATATCTGTCGTATATATGTATGCGTATGAATGTACATATATATTACAATAAACGGTTTTTCGTTATTTGAACCCACAATTTAAACCGGTAGGTTAGACCAAATTGGCACCCGTTACCAAGATATTGAACGGTTTTTTGGTGTTTTATTACAGTTTTTTGTACAAAATATAATATGTAATTCGCAATGAATATACATATGTATGTTCATTAATATAAGAAAAGGCATCGAATGGACTCACTTTGATTTCCTCCAAAGGCTTTTGGGGAATATGCATATATATATGTATTTGCGAGTGTATATAATTACGTGTATTCCTGTCCTTTCCTTTGAATTTTGTGTGTGCTAGGTGTTGCTTTTTTTGTGGTGTTTTTTGTTACTACGCGTCCGAATGTATATTTGTATATGAAATAAAGTTTTGTTGTTAGGATCGCGCCCGCTTTGATTTTTGGAGTATTTTCACGCCCTTTTTATACTCTCGCAACCTGTTGCTACAGAGTATAATAGTTTTGTTCGAGTTAGATATAGGGTTATACATATATAAATGATCAGGATGAAGAGACGAGTTGAAATCCGGGTGACTGTCTGTCCGTCCGTCCGTCCGTCCGTGCAAGCTCTAACTTGAGTAAAAATTGAGATATCTTTATGAAACTTGGTAGACATGTTTCTTGGTACCGTGAGACGGTTGGTATAGCAGATGGGCGTAATCGGACCACTGCCACGCCCACAAAACGCCATTAATCAAAAACAAATAACTTGCCATAACTAAGCTCCGCAATAAGATACAAGACCGTTATTTGGTACACAGGATCACATTAGGGAGGGGCATCTGCAGTTAAAATTTTTTTTTAAAAAGTGGGCGTGGTCCCGCCTCTAATAGGTTTAATGTGCATATCTCCTAAACCGCTAATGCTATAATAACAAAATTCACTGGAAGCAAATGTTTTTAGCTCTTCTATTGACCTTGTGAAAATAATTGAAATCGGGTGGCAATCCGCCCACTCCCCATATAACGGTACTGTTAAAAACTACTAAAAGCGCGACAAATCAAGCACTAAACACGCCAGAGACATTAAATTTTATCTCTGAGATGGTATAAGATGACTTTAAAGGAACCGCGTTCAAAATTAGACAGTGGGCGTGGCACAGCCCACTTTTAGGTGAAAACCCATATCTTGAGATCTGCTTAACCGATTTCAACCAAATTCGGTGCATGACGTTCTTTTCATGTTTCTATGTCATAGTGCGAAAATGGGCGAAATCGGACTACAACCACGCTTACTTCCCATGTAACACCATTTTCAATTCCATCTGATTCTTTCACTTTCCACTATGCAAATCAGGTAACAATGATTATATCGGGGTAAAACTTTGCGTGAATAATGCAATTAAAGTATGCCACCTTGGGGCCAAAAATTGTCTAAATCGAACCAAAACTGTTCAAACCCCTAAGTACTAAATAAGTGGACCCCAGTGCCTATAGTTGACCTTCTACCGAAAATATCGGTCAATCCACAAAGAAATCTCAAACGAGTATACCATTTGACTTTGCGAGAGTATAAAATGTTCGGTTATATCCGAACTTAGCCCTTCCTTACTTGTTCATTTTATATTTAAACAACTTTCATGCTTCCTGATTTATTGTATATATTTACGATTAAAATAAATAAATTAGATCCTAAAACCTTCATTTGATTGTCCTTAAGTAAAACACGAAGTGTATTTCATAACATCATAAAGCATACATACTGAGAAAAAATTTCGTGCAAGGTGTATTACACTTAGTGGCATGACTATGCGCGATGTTGTTTCGTCGCTGTCTCGACTAGGGATAATGGGATGCCCAACTCTTTCCATTGTGAGAGCGCCTCAAAATAAGCGTTTTTTATAACATTTTCCATTGTAGCCAGATCGGAAAAAATAATAATTTTGGGAATTTAAATTAAAATACCCAATACTTATTAAGATTAAATATTATTACACATTTATTCGTTAAACATATGCAGAAACTATTTGAATCAATTTTTTGTGACTTTGTAATATATTAAAACAATTGATTTTTGAACTTTCAATACTTAATTAAAAGAATAAATGTATTAGCTCTCTTTCTATTGAAAATTAATACATCTAAGCATGGCATCACAAAAGATTTCATCACATACGTTTTGATTTCGCGTTTTGTTTCATTTTTATTGTTTTCCAATTTTTGTTAGTGATCTTCAACAGCAGCAACAAATCTTTCTGTTTACACATTTTTCTCTAGGATTTCAATCTGCCGTCCCTCTTTTTTCAATTGCTAAACGTCAGACCTTCTTATCAGACCTTCTAACGATAGAGCGTAAGCGTACGTGTAAAGATAGTTTACACAATTGAATTGTGAAATTACGACCACTTTTCTACAGTGAATATGTGTGGTCCGCTTGGCGCCCTTGTGATTAATGGTGCCTAGTGTGCCCACTTGCCGGTCTTTTGTGTATACTTTTACTATGTTTTTGTTGTTGTATGCAGTCTGTCAGACAGTTTACAGCATGGTATAAGGGAGTAGGGAAAGTCCCATTCACAGTAGTTTCGCCAACTCTGAGGCGTACGTTCACAATAAAACCAACATGGTGGCCATGGTGAGTTAGGGTGGCGAGGGGTTAAAACGGGTTGCGCTTATCAGAAAACGCCTAAATAATTATTTATAAATATTTGAAATTTTGGATATGAATTGATGTTTAATGATAACAATATATGATATTATACCATGTTGATATAGGTAAATATGCGGCATATTTTAAAGCATTTTAGTTAACTTATTAATGAAAAAACTGAAAATTCAATTCAACTATGAGTGGAAGGGAAGAAATAACTATTGTAACAGAATTTGATATTATATATAAGTAATAATAATTTATATAATCAAAAAAGCAAAACTTATCATTGTCATACAAGTGATAATAATTCATTTAAACAATAAAGCAAAATTAATCATTGTACTTATATTAAGAAATAGTTACTGTGGCGATGTTTTCTCTAATTTAAGTATAGATTCATTTAATCACAAATTTTATTTACGTTTTATATATCAGCAATTAACGGTGGATATATGTACAATAGTTTATTACAACTTTTGACATACAAATTTACCATATTATTATATAGTTCTTAGTTTAGTTTTTAAATATATAGACTCCCAAAATAAATTATTTGTTGAAGTTGCAATATCTTTATAGTATAAAACATGGTATAAGGGTATAAAATACGGTAGATATATTTCTTTTTTAAAAAGTAATTTAAAATTAGCTTGCGCAACACTGTTACGCATTGCTCAATAGCAATACTGGCATTTGAATTTATTAACAACTTTTAGTCAAACGGACGGACAAGTTTTTTTGAAGGGTAAGTTGTCTTTTTTTAAATGTTTTTGATATAATTATTTTATGGTTTTTTTTTCATAGAAACAAACAAGTTATTTCGGATCAACAGGTTAGTTTTATTTTCTATAATTCAAATTAAAAGAAAATACTAATGGGAACTTTTTTATACAGCAATATGCCACGCAAGTGCATCAGAAGTTGCAAAGGCTCGTTACGACTTCATAAATTTCCGGGAGTGCGGAAAATGCCCAGGTGAGTAAAGTATTTCATTTTATATGTTTATTTAATATATACTAGCTTTTACCGGTTACGTGGTCTCGGTGTGAAAGCGTAACAAACACACTTACATTCACATTTATATTATAATATTAGTATGGAACTATGGATATGGATATGTATATTTCGATCCCCGTATTCCGGGTTTATAATAAATCATGTAAAAGTGTTTAAGTGGAAAATAGGAAATTTTCGATTTGAATTAAAAAGCTATTGCTCATGTCTCAGAATTTACGATAATTTATTACCTATGCTAATTTTAAAGAAATGCTTCTATTTTGTGATTCAATAATTAATTTTTGACCATATTTCTTCATTTAATACATTTTTCAAAGTTTTTGTCATTAATTTCTATTTGCATTTCAAATTTAAGTTCAAATCTTACATACAAATATAACATACATATACATATGTATATATATTATATACAATTTTTGGTATGATCAAATTTCAAAATTGCACACTAGGTGTGCGTTTAATAATAAAAATTTAAATTCGAAAAAAATAAATTTAAAATACACACTATGAGCGATAAATATAATATAAAATTGCAGTAATGGCCAAATATTAATTAATATATTGTAACTGTGTTTTCATAACTTTTCTCCAGAAATGTACCGACATACATTGGGATCGTCTGTTAATTGCCTCCTCTGTGGATTTACTTGTACAATCAGTACCCGTATGTATATTTTTTTATTTATAAATATAGGTGGAAAAATGCTAGATACGATAATAATGTGTTTGCGGTATTTAATTTTTTTCGAACAGTTGGAATCGCTTGGTATTTGAGCGGTGATTTATTTTATTTTTTTTTCTCTTTTACAAATAATTTTTTACTTTTAATATCTTAAATTTTTATGTAAACAATCACCATATTATTTTTCTATTTATTTAAATAATTTTTTTATGTAATAACATATTTGTTATTTATTTTTACTTTTTAGGCGGATGAAATGGATGCACCTACTTGGTGTATCCGATTTCGAAAGCCCTGATTTGTATGCCTGCGATAGGCATTTCTCGTACCGCTACAAAAATAGCTTAAGGTTATCAAAAGGGGCAGTCCCCGATAAAAATTTGTTAGTGCCAACAGTGAAGGTAGTTTCGGACGGAGGTAGTTTAGATAAAGGCAGTTTTTGCGAACCTGACAAACTGGACAGTCTAAATACGTTAAACACTTTCGGTGACGAGATAGGAGACTGTACTTCGAGCTCATATGAAGTACATGAATAGCTGTCCCTTCATTACAATGTATTTGAGGAACACTCATATTCCTCACCTTTAGGAAATTTAAACAATGGGGCGAAAAATAGCAATACACAAACAGATGCGTACCTAAGTGAAGGGACACCTAGGAAAAAAAAAATTCTGGATGATATTGTTAGCCTTAAAAAAAGGAATAGTACTTCAGAAAGAGAGGTGCAAGAATTAAAAAAACAATTAGGAAAAAAAGAAAAAGAGATTAAGGCCTTAAAAAAAAAACAGTTTGCCTATTGAAAAAAATGAGAATAGGCAAATTGTTGAGCTATGTAGCGAATTGCCTCCACATATTGCTGCATGTGTGAGGAATAGTTTGACAAATAATAACCGTAATCTTCTCGGTAATAGATATGATAGGGAATTGAAAACCATAGCTCTGGGGGTTCACTTCTTATCACCTCTAGCGTATAGATATTTAAAGCCCTATTTTAATTGGCCATCTTCAAGAACTTTGCCACAGTTTATTCAAAGTTGGCCACGAAGTCCTGGTTGCACGTATAGCAGCATAAAAACTCTGGAACTCCGTAGCCGTGGCTTTACGAGTGACCAGAAATACGTGTCAATATGCTGCGATGAAATGTCTCTGAAGACCCATTTGCAGTATGATAGATATAGGGACTTAATTGTAGGCCTGGAGGATTATGGCGATGAAAATCGTACCTCCAAAATTGCTTCAAGTGTTTTAACACTAATGGTTCAAGGCATAGGTGGGGAGCCTTGGTCTCAACCGTTAGCATATTTTTTTGTGCATAAATCTTGCAAAGGAGATGTGTTTTGAAACAATATGTTTTTGAAGTTGTGTCCTAACTTCAGGGGATAGGTCTTCACCCCTGCCATTTTGTATGTGATCAAGGGACAAATTTTGTGCATTTTGCCCGGGTTGTAGGAGTGACAGAGGATAGGCCATTTTTCATAGTTAATGGAGAGGAAATCGTATTTTTTTACGATTCTCCTCATCTTATAAAAAGTGCGCGAAATTGTTTGCAAAATACCAAGAATTTAGTAAGTTTTAATGGTCGTCTTGCAAAATGGAGTGATATAATTCACTTCCATGAGCAAGACGCTCAACAAAGTATTAGATGTGCGCCTAAGATAACTTCGGCTCATCTAAGGCCTACAACTTTTGAGAAAATGAGTGTGCATTTAGCTACACAGGTTTTCAGCAACACGGTTGCTAGTGCAATGTTCGCATTATATAGCTCCGGGAATTTGAATATTTCTAAGTCTCCAACTTTCCTTAATACCGCCGAATTTGTTCTTTTTTTTGATAAAATTTTTAATATATTTAATAGTAGTAGGCTTGGAGCCCTACGAAAATATAATGAACCTTTTTTCGGTAGTACGGAACAAATTACCTTTCTCCTAGAAGCCGAGAATTTTTTTACATCTTTAAAAATTACTGATAGCATAGGTCGTGATATCACGAATACATTTTCTTTTATTAAGGGATGGCTTCTAAATATTAAGGGTTTACGACATTTGTGGAAGATCTTGTCCACCAAAGGATTCGAATATATTAGGACAAGAAATCTTTGTCAAGACAAACTTGAGCATTATTTCGGACAGATTCGTAGGGGGGGCGGAAATAACGTAAGAACTACTCCGTACATGTTCTCATGTCTTTTCCGAAAGTCCTGGGGCCTTAGACCGTTAATTATGTGACTAGGGGCAACTGCGAACCTTTGCCTAGGGAAGAATGGGAATCTTTAAGTACTAGCGCCCTTCAAAGCGTTTGCAATGACGCTTTGATTAATGATATTTCTTGGCAAACCTTTCAAAGTTTGCCAAGGCCGCCCTTAGAAGCACTTCGAAATATTGAAATCGCGGAAATTGACTTAAATGAAAGCTTTTTCTTGAAGCAAAATTCGTTCGCTTATTTTTGCGGCTATATGTATTCAAAGTTTTTAAAACTTCATAATTGTATGAGTCCTATCCCTCGCCTTGAAGATGAAACTGATTCTCGTTTTCTTTTTTTAATGGAAAAAGAATATAACGACTGCAGTCTGGTGAAACCCCCTTCAGACTTTATAAACTTCCTCGAAAAATTAGAGGAAATATTTTGCAGCAATTTTGATTCTTGCTGTCATTTACGAGGGTTTTCCAAATTTTTATTTGAAAAAATGCAACACATAGAGCCGTTTTATTGCTGTGAGAATTCTCAGCCAGACGTTCTTATATCCCTTTTTATTAGAATAAGAACGTACTTTTCTATTAAAATTTTTAATAAACAGCTGCTTTCAAGCATGTGAAATTTTTATGTGTTGCACACATGTAAAATTTGTCTGAAGTCCTTTGTCCGGGTGTCTATCTGAAAAAAAATCTTCATTTGTTGTCCTGACTACAACGTGATAGAAATTTTCACATTTTGAAGTGCTCAATTAATAATTAAGATAGGAATGCACATATATTCTTGTTATTAGCCACATTTCGCACTTTTTATTGATAGGTCCTACCCTACCCCACCATGCATCATTTTGAATTTTCTCAGGGTTTTTGTTAGGTCTCCACTGTTGGCAATGCAGGCATATCAAATGTATTTATATAATTATTGTTAAATGAACTTTTTGAATGTTTTTGTTTTTTTATTATTCATTATTTTGTTATTTAGTTTTAAGGTATATGGGTGAAAATAGGCCTCCTGGGGAACCGAACACCCAAAAAAAATCGGTAACGCGCCATTTGCATACCTCATGGTGGTGTGGAAAATGCATTATAGATATAAGGAAATGTACTAAAATCAAACGAAATAAAACATATTATTTGGCACAGAAAAAATTATGTTTTTATTTAAACAAAGTATTTATATTAAGATTTTTAAATTGTTTCAATGAATGCAAATAGAGGCGTTGCAAATGAAGAAATTGCCCATGATTCTAACTTTTGTTGGTGTTGAGCACTATAATACTGGCCACATATTAGCTTTGGAAACAATTAGATGCACACTAAAACATTTACTCTAATACATATAAACAATTTTGTATCATTTAAGACGAAATGTTTGTTTCACTTTCCAAATCATTGTCATACATAAATCAGTTTCTAAATTTAAATCACTCAACTAACTAACTTAAGTACGCAATCTAAAGAATCAGGACGTTTATTAATGAAATTATATTCTTCCAAAACGATATAAATATCATGCACATTGTAGGCGGGTTAAAATAGCTTTATTATTTACTACAGGTTTCCTCTGAAAAAAAAATAATTTTAGTTATTATTTATTATTCTATTCACTAATACACACCTGCATATTTTAAATTCTTGTGTGAGCAGTTTTGTCCAGAGCAATTAGCATTAAATATGTTTGTGTTGCAAATTTTTAAACATTGCCCTCAGTTTCGTTGAATAAGCATTTTCTGCATCCCGTTATTTGACATAGTTGCTTAATTGCACCTTACAATTTTCTGTGGTGAATATTTATTAAGTTACCACAGTAAAAAAAGGCATAAATATATATCGTAATTATACTGAAATTTGCCAATAATAGTCGCTTTTTTAAGAACATATATTTAAATAAACTTATTTTATTTTGAAAACATATTAAAGTTTTATATATAATCAATATTTTTTGGACAACTTTTTCATAAATTAAGAGAAAATAGCAAAATGCAACCATTTTCCGGTTAAAAGTCGGCCATCTTGGCTATCAATAGAAACTCAACCCCTAGGCGGACTTGACGTTTCTCCATGGACCCCTCTCAGCTGTAGCTTTGTTTACATCCATCAGCTGATTCTTTCTCTACTCCCCCTTTACGATGGTTTACAGTTCACAATGTGCCCGCTTTCTGTTTTTGTTGTTGTTAACTTTTCCCAAGCATGCACGTAAAGTTTTGCGCTGTGCAGCAATATGCTTTTTGTCCCCCGTGCTTCTCCCAGTTGCCTCTTTGTCACTTTTACTTTTGGCCACGTTCGCTGGCGCAGGGTAGCTTTTATGCAACTTTAACGCAGCGGGCAATTTTTGGTCGCCGCCATTGTTGTTGGTGACTATAGAAAACGAGGAACATTTGTATGGAATTTAATTGGCTGCTATTATTTGATGCTTTTTCGGCTTAATTTGGCAGAATTTTGCGTGAAATAAAATTTTACTAATTAGGATTACCATAGTAAAAAAATTAGAAGTAATTTCGAAATATTCCGCTCTTCTTACATGAGGTTCACCCTTGCTTACTTGTTTTAAATAGAATTTTTGTAGGCTTAAATTAAACAAATCCCAAATATTTATTTTCTATTGGCAGCATTTGCAAGTTAGAGTATCTCTATATTTCTATACACCCCTGCAAGCCAACTAACGGTTAAATCTCTGGTAAATTATCCAAGAGTTGTACAAGAGAGTTTCTTAAGGCTGGTGGCACAAACACATATGCATTGCTCTAGTAAGGGAACGTATTATTTACTACATTATTTAACCAAAATATCCCAAACAAACAAACATCAAAACAACCTTATGTTATTAATGAACAGAATGTATCAAAACAACGTTAAACAAAACCCGTCGAAACAACCTTATCTTAGAACAAAGGAAATGTACCTAAACAAACAATATATTATATGTAAGCAAACTATTAACTAGTAATAAGTAAGCATTCTTGTTAGTATAAATAGCAGTAATACCTATGTAACAAGTTAGTTAATAATAATAAAGAGTACACATTTCGGTGCAGCTCAAAAATTTAATGACTCATATCGGGTAAGCAATATTAACTCGCGTGTCACTTAATATACATACTACATAGGTATGTATGTATGTACGGGAACTCCGATGCTGATACTCACTTAATACGAAGGGATAAACACACAAAACGAAAAATATCTTAGCATATTGCCTTACAGTAGTTGAAAATGTTGCCATAAATGAGGAATATTATTAAGGAGAATTACTTGGTGCTTTTGAAGTATTTATTCTTAAATGAAAAATTATATATTTGATTGCATTTTCTTTATTGTTGCACATACACATTGTTTTAGTACTAATAGATATAAAATAGGATATACAAACATTATTTTTCAGTATTGATGCATATGGCAACGCCGCCAATGATGTTTCGTGAGTTTATGTTACATACTTTTGGGGTCAAAAACTGAGGCGTTCACTGAAAGTAGGAGTATCAGTGCAAAATAACAATAAATCTAACAAGTGAAAACAGCCTTCACAAAACCAAATCTAAAAAATATAATAACGCATATTTAAATACCTATGGGCTTGTACACTCATGTACATTGTGAAAACTATTTAGTTTAAGTGGTATAGAAAGGTTCAAATATTGTAATCAATAATTAGAGCAAGGCTGTTATTGGCACGTACACATTGACACATACACATACTCTTCCACGTTACATGAGTTCAAAGGAATAATTTACCCATACATACATATATATGTGATGTGTGTGTGTGAGTGTGAACATTCGGATATTCGATTCAGCTTAGCAACGTGAAGCCAGCAGCCTTTGGTCAGTAAAAAAACTCACACTATAGAGTAAATCGCGCTTATTTGCATTCGTTATAAGTATATCGATTATATACGTATTTAACGTTGTCGTCGTGCTTAACGTCGTCGTCATCCGTTGCTGCAATGTCATGCGTTCGGTGTTCAGTATTCGGTCGGATCGCCTTTCGTTAGACCAACTGGCGACAATAATTTTCGATTTTGAACAAACTAATCACAAACGAAACAATAACAAAAAAAAAACATAATTGTATTTAATGAAACATTAATGCGTCAAATAAGTATTTGAATAGAAAATAATTGTACATATGTAGGTATACGGTATAGAACGAAGCATACATAGATGCATACGTAAATATAAAATTTTACAAACACTAAAAAAATATATAAAAAAAATATGTACACACAAACATCTGTACATAATGTATAAGACGTTTAGATTACTAAGGAATACCATAACAAAATCACACGGATAGCCGATTGCATGCTTCATATATGTATGTATGTTTAACAGAGAACAAACGAATTTGCATAGTAGCAAATAGTTCAGGTTAAGAAAAGTGTAAATTAATATCTTTGATTTTGGGAAGAAGAGAAATTTAAAAAGAAACAACACAAAGCGTTATGAAGTGGCGACAAACTAACGGCACTACGATTTGATCAGCTGCTGTAAAAAGACATACATATATATGAGTATGTTTTTATAATAACTCAGTTACACATGAATGTATACACATACATACATATGTGATTTAATGACAAGGGTGTCGTTGCTTTTCTTATGTGTGATTATTTTGATATTATGCCGACATTTCATATTAAATTCAAGTAATTCGCACTGTAGGAGACTGGTGTAGCCGAAAACAGATATAAGCCTATAACTTACGTCACATTTCTTTTACAGGTAAGTCCTTGCAATGTCTGTAAAAAATTGTATACGAATGTATGTACATATGTATATATAATTACGTGAGTTTGAATTAATAATGCAAAATGTATGCATGTCTAATCAAAAGATTGCCACATATGTATGTAAATACTTATACTTATATATGCATGCAAACATACATACATTACATATATTGTAAATTTTTGATTCAACATAGGTGATGTTTAACAATTATACCAATATTTAAATACAATTCGGTCGAACCACTTTATGCAGTATAATCTAGGTGAAGCCTCTTCCGCCCTTTTTCTTATAAGCAAAATCGGACAATAAATATTAAACAGGCACACAATCATAATTCATTATTTCTTCGAAAATATTGCTGTGTACTCTAAATTCAAATTACGGTGCAAGTAAAAATTCGAATGTTTAAATATGAAACAAAAAGTACCAATATTTACTGCTTTGCATCTGTTTGGTATGGAAATAAAACAATATTACCTAGAATGATATTCCACATTTTATTGCCTATTCATTCATCTCTTCCCAATACGTATGTTCCACCATATCTGCCAGTGACTATATGCTATATATTGTATAGTTTGAACGTTTTCTAAAATTGTCTGACATAGCGGAAACGGTATAATGGCAATAAGTGACATATGATTTGCTTTTCATGTAAACAATTCTCATTACCCTAATTCTGAATATACCCTTTCTGCTATGTCAAACATACCGTTAAAAGTAACAGTTGAACTTTTATCCAGTTGAACATATAAAACTTTCAATTTCTTTCTGACCAGTCAAGATTGTTTGCCGCAAGCTTTTAGCAACCTAAGCGTCATATAAATTCTTACCTCGATACAAATAGAAAAGGAGCAGGGGAGGAGGAGTCTATATATCGACGGGAGTCTATATACCGACGGGGTCAAAATGCTCTTCGGAGTATTGACGGGTGTATAATCCAATGATGTAAGCATCTATCTTTCTATTCGCGTATCAAACTCAGCCAACATCATCCAAGCGGAAGTACTAGGTATAGAAAAGGCCTGTGTAGTTCTATTGAATAACTATGAGAGGACACAGAAAGCAACCAAAGATTAATTTCAGCGTAACAATCGCTAGAAGACTTTAAGCTCACTGGCAGGTCAACTCCACTTGTCCATAATCCGAAGCGCAGTTAATACCATGTCAGCTGGGAACGGTCAAGATAGAGCTTTTTACGCATTTTGAACAAATGGCTCAGAACAGATGGAAATCAATAACCAACTTCAAGATAAAGAAAGAGATATGGCCCAATTATAACAAGACTAGAACTTATTAAATAGATTCAGACTGTTTTTCACTTTCTCTGTGAACGCCCAGTTTTATCACAAACACGACACAGAATATTTCTAACCCAACAGGTACCAAACCTTTAATGGCTGTGTACAAAAAGAATATCATTCAACGAAATAATAGTAATACAGCTCTGAAAAATTTGAAATTTACACTTAGAAGTAAGACTAAGCTTCTCCTCCTACTTAATCAAACAATTTCCACTAATTGTAAGAAGTCTTGTTGTCCCAATCTTGTATTCTATTATTCCTGCTCAGAAATAGCCTTCAAGGTTTGGCACTTTGTGAATATATTGTATAACGTCAGAAACACGTTTACTTGTATCCCAACAAATGAAAGTAGCAGTGACGTCAATCCATAAGAGTTAAAAAACAAATGAGCATTGGAACAAATTATATTTTTTAAGCAGTATTAATTTGATTTCCAAATAAAGAGGAGATCGAAAATGATTTATGTACTTTCTTCCATTTTAAAGAACTAAATTTCCAACATAATTATTTTTATTAATTTATTTTTAAGAATGGTACAATGATTTTCTGTTTCTTCTAAAATTCTGCTTCTACTAACGTACATGTAGTGTTGGACAAAAATAATAGAAACAACATCCTCTTCTGATCTTTTAAGTAGCCACTTGTTTAACAGAAATAAGCCACAATTCCGCGAATATTTTGCGTTTTTCTGTTAATTCCATAAAAGAGCTCGATTACCTTTTGAATCGTACTTCATAAAAGTCCTTTTTTTGTCGAAAGACCTCAAGAATACCTTGCAGGCATCAGTGTCCAGTCGGAAAATAAGAAATATACTTATTGAAAAGGACTTGAAAGCACGCTTATGTATATATAAATACCGTAAAAGGCTATACTTTCCAAAGGTTCATACAGCATGTAGAAATTGGAATAACGTACTGTGATAATATAATATGAGGATGCTTTTGCGCCTGAGGAGTTGGTCCGATATTCTGGATAACAGAAAAAATTTACCATATTCCGAAAAAACGGAAACGGGCCATAAAATGGGAATTCAAGCTGTATAATGACTCCAAATATGCGTCAAAACTTGTTAAGAAATGGTTCCGGGACACTAAAATTTTCGGCTACACGCGACCTTAGCTCTTCCTTACTTGTTTATTATTGAAATTGTAAGCTTCTTAAGGGGCACGACTAGTGTGACGTTTTCGAAAAATCGAATTTTTCTATATCTCAAATAATTTTTGATTTACGGTCTTCTAAACTGTAGTCGCTCAGTTCAATCAGCTCCGTCAGCTTATTTTTAAACGCCTTTTTTTTCAAAACTGTCTTTATGAAATTTGCTTGAGGGATTACTCGGTGACAAATTATCCGATCACTATCAAATTTTTTCTTTATGTTGTCAATATAGTTCTCCACAAAATGACTTGCCAGTTTTTTAACCAGATCAAAAATAGAATTTTGGCAAGCCAAAAACGACCGAAATTTTGGATAAAATCAACTTAATTTTTAAAAGCGCCGCCATTTTGGCATTTTTTTTCGATCGTAGATCAATCTACGGACAATATCTTCTAAGGGAGAATTTGATTTTTTTAAGTTTCATCCAGGAAGAAGGCCGGAAGGAACAGTGGATGACCTTTTTTCTCCACAGTTGGAGATTGCGTGTAACTTGAAAAATATTTAATTTTTCTCTTTATAAATGTTACTGTGTATTCTTAAAATATGAGTAAATGTACTCTTAAAATTTTAAACCATTAGTTTTTTTTTAATTCCCAAAACTCGCCTTTTAATTGGCTGTCACTCTAGATGTGTCGTTTAATTAAATAAGCATGATGCATACAAAATATATTTTTATTTATTTTCATTTTTTATTATTTTCATTAATTTTTTTTATGGCAATTAATGTAAATTGTGTTTTTTAATTTATGTTAAAGCTTCGCTACAGCGTACAATTATCCCCCCACATGCGTTGATGAAGTTACAAACACTGCCGAACCACGCTACCAAAGCATGATCTCAACGAACGCAACGAATTGTATTGACAATGATCATCATATTCATCACCGCACTCACCACACAGCAACGGCCGGTTCTCAAACTTGTGGTATTAGCTCGGGAGTTAGCAATAACCGACGTAACATGAGCAACACCAATGTGTGTGGTGTACGCTGTCGTTCTTTATTGGGCTATCAACCGCATTTGCAGCTTATCAATGATGTTAATATTATGGGCAGCAATAATTGCGGCGATACGGGGGCATCTGGAGGCCGTTATAGTCCACATCCGAATGAGATGTTCTTGCAGCATCATGGTAAACTCTCAATTCAATCAATTAATGGCTATGACGATTCAACGAATTGTTGTCTGCCGCCACCATCGCCAGCGCCGAACAGTGATAGATACATAATAGGCTTAACATCATTGCAAGGTTCTCAAATATGTGGCACTTCCAGTAATGGTAACTGTTTGGACATGCATACGACATACGCTAATTATGATGGTGGCGGCAATGTTGGAGGTCAAGTACATCAAGCTAACGCACAGCAAATACATCAACATCTACATACACATCATACGGCACAATCGCTTTCTTCATCCACATCAACATCTCCGCTGGCTGTTTCTGGTAATTGCGCCACAAAATACGTAGGCAGCATGCAACAGTGTTCCATTTCACCGAATACTCGATTTCGCTTATCAGACCGATATGGTGAGGTGCCCTCGCCTAAATCACTAATTTTAAATAGCCCATCCACCATTGGCAGCCAAGGCGTCTTCGCTGCGGCCTCGGGCGAAGTCTCAACACAGCCTGCCAGTGCAGCACGATATGCCTCTTCCTCACAATTTTTAACACAAAGCACACCACTGGTGACAAGCGACACATACACATACCTTTCGTCAACAGTGCATACGCCTGTAAAGCGCTATGTGCCGACCCCACCACCGCCAAACGAACTATACACTGACATATCGATACAGCCGCCTACATCGACGCCGCAAACATATGTAAACAAATGCACAAATAATAGCAGTGTGATCAACGGTGGTATCAGTGGAAATGGTACAACGCAACATGTCAACACACTGCCCTTCCGCTTACGCATGAAATGCTGCGCCAATGACTTGGCACATTCAACAGTGATGCAGGCAGCTAATACAAATACCTCGCATATGACGCGTAGTCTTGAGCATCGGCCACTCACAGTAACCGACTACTATGTCACATCTCCGCGTACTCGACCATCCTATGGCAATAGTACTCACACTAGCCATAATGCTCAGGGTGGTCATAATTCCATTAACAACAATTGCTTCAATGTTGTTAACAACAGTAATATCAGTGCTAACGGGATAGGTAATTCAAAATGCGCTACAGCAGCGGCAAAAGATGCTTCCATTATCATCTTACAGGATCAACAAATGCCAACAAATGAACACTTGACATCGCTATCTAAGTTGCATAACACATCCAGTTGTATAACCTCTGCGTCGACGGCTTCTTCAGCGTCAACAGCTGTGGCAGGCGGCTCAAATCCTTTATGCGTCAGACCGTCGACTGCTTCACCACTGTCTATTGGCGCCAACGGTATGTATGTAGTCGGCAACAGCCGCTTAAGTACAAACGGTGTCGCTCGTGCTAATAACTCAAATGTGATAAATGACAGTAACGGCCGCATTTATACGACGCCCGTCACTCAAATGGATGCTAACTCTGGCGGAAGTGGTGTTGGTAACAACAGTAGTAGCAACATAAATTCTGGACTCGGTGCAGCCACCACTTGTTTGCATTGCAACACAGTACGACGTACAACCGGCGTTCATCAGACCACTCAGACAACAGGCCCGATCAGCCCAATACCCATACAGCAAGTACTGGAGGGCAATAATGCAGGAGTCAGTTGCAATGGCGTCTTTCTACAGAGTAAGCTGGAACAAACTTCACTTTCACTATCACCATCCACCAGCGAGTCGCATATTTCCCCACAATCGCCATCAGCAAATGGAGCACCCAATTCTCGAATACCTTTTCGAAGTAAAGGGAATGATGGCAGTGGCAACAACGGAGTTGAGGAATTGCTACAACAGCAAGGAGATCAAATGTATGTGACTCCAAAAGCCCTCCATCATCCAATGAATGTAATAACAGAGGGCACTTACACAGAGCACGTTGGTATTGCTGGGAACGGGCAACTGTGCAAGCAGCAACAGCATCAACCGTCTTTGAATGGCAATCGGCAACTACTGCAACATTCGCCTATGCAGATGCATCATCAACCACAACAGCCCTCACCAATACAACAGCTGCCTGTACCACAACAACAGCAGCAAATTCAACGCTTTTCTCGGAAGAAACGTTTGAGTCAATACATACGCAATGAAATAGCCCGTTTCTTTGGTGTAGACGCCAGTACGGAAGCTGAAGAGTTTGCTGTTTGGCAAGGCCGTCAAAGACGTTTAGCCCTCCGAAGATTTGGTGCGTTGAAAAGTGAAAATGAGTTACATGCTGAAATGAACAACAGAAATACCAGTGAGATCAATAATCGCGTAAATTGCTATAATGGAGCCGGTGGTGGAACTAATCAACAATACCATCAACATCATTACCACCCTTCGGAAAGGCCTGATATATTACCCGCTCATGATACGGAAGGTGACGACCTGGCAATCGAATATTCATCGCGACGACGTCATTTTTTATATGCCGACTTCCAGTTAGGAGATCATGTTGAGCGGAAAGCCTCTGTCGGTACAATGATTATTTCTAGCCTAACTTACATCGTACACACTCTGAATAAACGACATCAACGCAACTACCGACAATGGTCACGAAGCTTTGCGCAAGCTCATATAAATCAAATCAATAGTATCGATAGCTCGGGTGATATTTTTGAAGGCTTATCAGCGCTACACGAAGACGAACTATTTTTCGACTCTTCAGGTACTGAGCAAACTCTAAACAATGGCAATGTAATTGGTTCGAATAGCAGTAATGGCGCAACTAGTGACTCGTTGCAGCAATCGAACACTGTGAGACCTGGTGATGGCAGTGCCATGATCACCAACAACAATGGTTTGAAGATACTTGAACATCATCGACAAATATACTTGGGTGAACGTATGCACGGATGGCGTACTTCGGCGGTAATGGGTAGCAGTGGGAAACATGCCACTTCCAACACCATCACTTCCAAAAACGGTGAACAAATAACTGCGCCCATGTTGCTGCAGCAAGCCGCAACCAGCAACAGCAACAGTGGTCAACAATCAAGTAATGTGTGCAGCACTAGCGCCTCCCACCAGTCCAAGAAGCCAACGATCGGTAGTCATAATGCCGCACCCTTATTGCCAAACGTACATTCAACAAAAGGAACACGCGCTAATCGCATATCGGCACAACTTCTAGACGGCGTACTCGAGAATTCGCGTCGCTCGATTCAGCGCAAAGTTAAATTGTTTACTGTTAATGATTTAGACGACCGTGCCGATCATCGGCCATTTTTTACATATTGGATCAACACAGTACAGACATTAGTTCTCTTATTGTCGCTTATTTGCTACGGTATTGGGCCTATAGGAATTGGAGTGGAACAAAAAACGGGACAGGTATTGGTTACAAGCCTTAGTTTACAAACAGTGCAGCACACCGAGCAACGCAATTTATGGATAGGGCCGCGAAATAACGACTTGGTACATATGGGTGCCAAGTTCGCGACTTGTATGCGTAGCGATGTACGTATCATGGATGTGCTACTGAAGACGAGGCGGCAAGAGCGTGAAACAGCTTGTTGTATACGAAACGACGATTCAGGATGCGTACAAAGCTCTCAAGCGGACTGCTCTGTGCGTGGACTATTCCCAACCGTAAGTAGAAATCCAATATTTTATGCGCAAAATATATATATATATATATATATAGATATAAAATAGTTTTAAATTTAATTTTAGAAGTCTATATCAACCTGGAAGAAATGGTCGCCTGGTGAATCTGGACCAGGTGGTCGTATTTCGGGTTCCGTTTGTGGATTGGATCCTAAATACTGCGATGCACCCGCATCCATAGCACCCTATGAATGGCCAGATGATATAACAAAATGGCCAATTTGCCGGAAAACAAATTCATTTTCACAACGTTTTCGCTACAAAGATCACACCGCCGAACACATGGTATGTGAGGTCATAGGTCATCCGTGTTGCACTGGAGTTTATGGAGAATGTAGAATAACCACTCGCGAGTACTGCGATTTCGTCAATGGCTACTTTCACGAAGAAGCATCGTTATGTTCACAGGTGAGCTAGATATTTGGTAAAGTTTGAACCGTTTATCAATTTCTTGAATAAGATAAGATGAACGCTTATTATGCCGGCTAGAGTGGACTCTGAGTTAGAGTACCTACCGCAAAAATTAAAAGTTTTAGTTTCGAAAAACCCTCTAGGCGTTACCTGGAGAAAAGTATTATCTAACTAATGAATTTAATTTTTTTTACTTCGGATGATCCAGCATGAAGATATGAGAGGCACCGCAGTTATACTTTTTTCCAAGGCACATCCGAATAATTGCCTCCATTTCTTTGTTTTTATACTCTCGCAACATGTTGCTACAGAGCTATTATACTGTTGACACTTAACGGTTGTTTGTATCACCGGAAGCCAGTTTACCATAGATAAATATAGAGTTTTATATATAAATGATCATCCTGTGACGAGAAGAGTCAAATTGCGGTTGACTGTCTGTCCGTCCGTCCGCCGATAACTTGATAAAAATGGAGAAATTTTTTATGAAACTTTGTATGTATATTCCTTGACACCCAAATTGTGAAAGTATTGAATGGTCGATTGAACTTAGTCCTTCATTACTAATTTATAAAAAATTTTGCAAACACCTTAATTTTTTTCAGCTGTTTTATTCCTTACAAATTGCGAGCGTATAAAGTTACACCCGAAATTAGCGCTTGCGTGTTTGTTTATTTATATTTTCCTGGAAAATACGGCGCACTTATATAGCATCAACACATAAAATAACCATAATTACAGATTTCCTGCTTAAACAACGTCTGTGGCATGCTACCATTCATATCTGGTGAGGTGCCTGATCAATTTTACCGGTTATTCACATCACTTTGCTTACATGCTGGGATTCTTCATTTGGCCATTACTATCGCCTTTCAACACGTATTTCTAGCCGACCTGGAGCGTTTAATAGGCCCTATCCGCACCGCTATTGTTTATATTGGCTCAGGACTGGCTGGCAATTTGACAAGCGCCGTATTAGTACCATACAAACCAGAAGTGAGTTCAACGAAATATTATTTTACTTGCTAAATTTTATTTGATCATCACATATTTAGGTTGGACCATTGGCATCATTGTCTGGTGTAATTGCATCCCTGATTGTGTTGCTAATACTTATCCACTGGAAGCAGCTACGTAAACCGCACGTTGCTCTATTCAAACTTATGTGTATAACAGCACTAATTTTTGGTGTTGGAACACTACCTTGGCAGTTGAACTTTGCAGGCCTGTTGGCGGGCATATTTTGTGGAATATTCTTAACCATTGCGCTGGTACCGTTTGTCAGCGTTAGCAAATATGGACGAAAAGCAAAGGTTTTCACTTTATTGATCGTATATTTTGTTATTTAAGAATAAGTAAAGCATGCATTCCACTAATTTTGAAGAAAAATTAAAATCGTAGACGTGGAATAGGTAAAAGGAAAGGTACCTCTATTCCAAAAAAGTTGTTAAATTTTTAAGAAATTAATTGATTAAAAAAAAGAAAGGAATTGATTAAACCATTTTTGTCTATTTGCTTAATTCAACAAGTGAGATCTGAATAAAACTAAAGTAAGCACGTAGTTTTCAAATTCTTAAAATTTAGAGATTCTTTTCCGTCTATTTGTAATGTGTGCCTTTACGTCCACACTATATGGCTACGCTCGCTCTTATTTACAGCGCTTCATGAAATCACAAAATAAATATGAAAACTTAAAAAAAATATTTAGAAAATAGACAAGTTTTTAAAGAACTTTTTTATTTTTGATCTAGTTTTAATGAACCATTGATTTTGAGCGACTTGGCATCGGCTCGCGTTTTGACATTTAGCTGTGATAAGCCAAATAAGTATATAATGGCACAAATTCCAAATGTAATCTCAATAAGTAAAGTCTCTGGATAGCTCTAATGAAGTGAATTGTCCAACTCGTTACTTATGTTTTAAGTATCAGCCAAAAATTTGTCTAGTTTCGAAATATTTCTTTTCAATTTTGTTTCACATTTTAATTTCTAGATAAATCTTATATGGTCCTGCGTCATCTTCCACCTGTTTATATATTCAGTATTGTTGGGTATTTTCTACGTATTTCCAACCGAGTTAACTTCATTAAATGTAGGTGAAGTTTTAAAAACAAATTTCAACTCTAATTCAGGCGGTGGCAGTAACGTTGCTGACAGCGTAAGTGTTGGGGTTGGAGGAATCGGCCGAAGTGGTGATATGCCTGCTGGTATCAGTAATGGCAGAGGGTATAATGGCAAAAACAAATGGTACCAATCGATGCAGCAGCAGCAGTATTACTACCACCATCGTTCCAGTGATATAATTACAAGTGGAGTGGTACGTATACATACACATATATGCACATAAATACGCCTATAGCAAGGTGTAGTAATGAAATAGGCTGAACATAAGATTCAAAATTTCCACCCAAAACAGAGCTCTGAATTCATGGGCAAATTTTTTATACATATTATAAATAAACGTTCTGACACCAATTCTTAGAAAATGCTGGTGTATATAACGCTCACCTGCACCTAAATTAGACACTTTCTTATTGTATTTTACTTAAAACTTGAATTTATCCTTGTATTTCATTTCGATAAAACAGTGTAACAAAAAAGAATGGAGCCGAAATACCTGGGTGAAGTGAATTTTTTTTTCTTGTAGGTCTGTCAAGTTGAACGAGAATTCAATTTTGGAATTTGGCAAACACCCCCAAAATCTCGACTTAATCTTAAAAAACCGATTTTTCGTACTTTTGCGCACTATTAGCCTATATCTTAGCTTATTACCGATTTTTAAAGAAAGAGGAAACTCAGACCTTTCGAATGATATACAGATGTTTTCATAAAGCTTAAAAGATTTATTTGTTTTTACAAAACAAACTTAAATTTTGTTACCCTTTTTCTCCTTTTTTTGACTTTGGCGATATTTTCATACACTTTTTTATAAGAAAACTATATGAGTTCTGATTGAAAAAGTACGTTTAACGCCGAGTTAAAAGAATATTTATTTTCAAAAATCGGTAAAAAATTGACTAAGCTATTACACTTTTTATAGAAATGAAATTTTTGCAAAAATTTCCAACGAACATAATTGACCACTAAATATTATGAAATGAAAATATATTAATGGAAAAGTACTTAGGTTATCATCGTTAGTTTCACGTTGTACAGACCATCAATATTCTGCCATCATATTATTTTATTTTTTACTTCCAAACTTTTTTCGATCGTAGCCATTTCTTGTTGGAAGTGTTCGCATTGTTCTTCGCTGAACTGGCACAGATTATTTGGGAAGAAGTCCAAATGCGAAATGCATTTTAAATTTTATTATGTTTGCAACCCTTTTCACCATATGCTCTTAAAAATTTGTTTACAACCGTGCTATAGTCGTCGCGTCTGTTACTCCCAACTAAATTATTACATAGCGCTACAAAACTCTTCATTGCACGTTTCTTAAGCTTGTTCATAAAATTAACATCGCTCCTACGAATTTGAGCGAAGAAAAATACCTATGTATGTAGTTATATACATATGTATATTATAGAGACAATAAAAAAGAACTAGGTATGAAAACAAATTAATAAATACCAGCATTTTAGCTTCACTTAATTTCACGATCCATCAATGAAAAGTCGCCATTCATCTGCTAATTATGATTTAAAGCTGAAAATAATTTGGGTACATTTACACAATGTAATGGATATCATCATGTCATTGCCATCAGTTTTAAAAGTTTCTCAAGTGTGGTCGCTTTTTCAACCCATGTAATTTAAAAATATTTTTCCACGAAATTCCACTGCTTTAGTCGTGAACCAAGGACTTCAGATTCTAGTTTCGATAAATGCAAACCACGCACGAGATCGACGAAATCGGAATTTGAAACCAAGTGCCGTTGCGTTGATTTAGATTTACCAGGAAGGAATTATTTCGCTACTACAATAAATATTAGGTCAAGTAAAAAAGTTCTTTCGGTTCGGTTTTTATTTAAGAGATGGCGTTATTGTCCATAGTACTAGTGTTACGTATCGCATCATGTCATACTATACGGCGCTGAAAACGTGTTTATTTGCGCTAAAAGTTTGTCTCTGACAGTTTTTCGATTGATTGACTCAGCACGCTGTGAGCGCTCGTATATTTTACAATTTTTCTTCGATCAAGGCGAAAAAGCAGCCAAAGCGGCTGAAAAAATGAATTTAGTTTATGGGCTCGATACTGTAAACGAACGTGTAGCACAAAAGTGGTTTGCTAGGCTCCGTTCCGGTAATTTCGATGTCAAAAATGCACCACGCTTTGGGAGGCCTGTCGTCGAAAATTGCGATAAAATCATGGAAATAGTGGAAACAGACCGTCACGTGAGCACTTATTTAATTGCTGAGGAACTAAAGATAAGCCAGAAAACCGTTTGGAACCATTTGCATAACCTTGCATTCAAAAAGAAGCTCGATGTTTGGGTGCCACACGAACTAACCCAAAAAAACATGATGGACCGAATTTTCATCTGCGAATCGCTGCTGAATCGCAACAAAATCGACCCGTTTCTGAAGTGGATTGTGACTGGCGATGAAAAATGGGTCACTTATGTCAACATCGAGCGCAAACGGTCGTGGTCAAAGCTCGGGGAAGCGACCCAGACGGTGACCAAGACCGGATTGACGGCCAGGAAGGTTTTGCTGTGTGGTGGGATGGGCAAGCAATCATCTACTGCGAGCTGCTCCCCTATGGCCAAACGCTCAATTCGGCCCTCTACTGCCAACAAATGGACCGCTTGAAGGCAGCACTCATCCAGAAGAGGTCATCTTTGATCAACAGAGGCCGAATTGTGTTCCATCAGTACAACGCCAGGCCACACACGTCTTTGGTGACGCGCCAGAAGCTCCGGTAGCTCGGATGGGAGGTCTTAATGCACCCATCTTATAGTCCGGACCTGGCACCAAGTGAGTCTTTTCCTGTCCATGGCGAACGTGCTTAATGGTGAGAAGTTGGCCTCAAGAGAGGGCTGTGAAAATTGGCTCTCCGAGTTTTTTGCCTATAGGGACGCAGCCTTCTACGAGAGGGGTATAATGAACAAGTTGACAACAAGTTTACTAACAAAACGGCGCATATTTGACTTAAATCGGACAAATGTACACAAAGTTGTCATCATTTAAAAATCAATAAAAAACCGAACGAACTTCTTACTTGACCAATATGTTTCATCAGCATCACTTTTTGTAGGCACCTCGGCATTTAAGTATTTTGGTTTTTTAACCGTAACAACATTTCTTAATTTACATTTTTTCCACGATTTAAAATTGTGACCTGAAACGTTTGTTTGGCAAACATAGCAATTATCTTGTTTATGATTAACCTGATAATGCCAAGTCATAGGCGCAGGGCAAAGTAATTGATTGATGAACTTTCCATTTTTTTAATGTTGTGCAGCAATAAAGCAGTGACTCGCACTATAAAAACGCACGGTATTAAACGTACTCTTTGAATCAGAACTCATATAGACCTACAAGAAAAATAACATGACTTCCTAGGTATTTTGGAGTGTCACGCTGTGTGATTAACACACTGGCGAATACAGAAATGTTTGGTATATTTTCATTTCTGTGTTGTATACATTTATCTTTCGGATGTAAACGAAGTGGAATGTATTTGCTTTCTACACCGAGCTACTTCATCATCATACTCGATTGGTGTCCAGTCATAGCGCAACCGCTGGTACCTGTAAAGCCAATGATATATCAAGAGGGGGCACCCTTGCCCCGCTCACACCGGAATGGGAACAATTTGGATCACCATAGTCATCTGGCGTTTTAGCACTGGACCAATGGCTCACGGGTGCACATAGCAGGCGTTGGTCCCCGCTCTTGTGGGACTGCAAGATCCTTTTAGCCGAGTAGAACCCACAAGATTTATTGAACTACTTGCACTTGTCAAATTTCATCTTGCCGCAATTGTTGGGAGTTCTTGCTGGACATTGTTTAACAGACTTTCATGCGGTAAGGCTAAAAATCATGTCGGATGCAAATTGTCAAAGTTTTATGGAGGAAGGTTATGTAGAAACATCCAGTCACTTTCTCCGCTATTGTCCAGCCTTTGCAAGACTGAGGTTGAAAGACCACGGGAGTCCTACCTTCAGCGAACATGGAGACATAGCCGTCTCAACAAATTTGTGATAGGATCAAAATGCTTTGTCGGTTAGTGAGGGTCTTAAAATCAATTATGTAGGAGTTTTAGGTACCAAACGCACCAGCGTTCTTTGCGGGGAAAGCTTTCAGTGCTACATATTTAAACAGTAATTGTACAAGAACTAAATGTTTAAGCCAATAAGTTTTCTTTGTTTTCTTATTCAGCATTTACGGAAGGAACCATTACAAGTGCAGCAAAATGAAATGAGTCCTGTTGCATCATTTTATCATTATGGTTACCATTTGAATCGCAGCAATAATCAAATGAGTAACAAATTCAAATATAATCCTTATAATAACGGTAATAGTAAAAACACCAGTTTCACAAATTATTATTTTGCGAATAACATCAAAAGTTATTTGAACAGCAGTAACAAGTCGCACCATATAACTGACGACAGTGAAATGTTGTCATATAATGCGAGGCCTGTCAGCAAAACCATAGAAGTTGAAGAGGGATTGAGAAATGATAGTAATAGCAACACCAACATAATCGCGTATAACATTAATAAAAATCAAAGAACTGGTAAAGAAAATATCGATGATGGAAGCAATAACATTGACATTGACGTTGTTGTCAGTGACATGACAGTTGGTAAGCTGCAGTCGTTGCAAACAATCAACGCTGTACAAAACCAGACGCCGAATTACAGTAGTGCGCGACATTCATTTGGGAAACAAACTAACAACTTGAGATATGTTGGAGCCAGTGACAATACTAACTGCAGCAGTAGTAGCAGTCCCATCTTCGAAAATCAGCAGCTACAGCTACAACAACTAAAGCTAATCTTACATTCAGGACGAAAAAATCCACGCTCTAACAATGATCTTCCAAAATTAGCTATCAATGTAAATTCGTTGCACGACAGCGTTGACCTGGACGACATCGACGTAGACAGCGAACTAATGTATATAGTCGAAGCAGATACAGACAACAAAGACGCACGTAGAAGACCGCACATAAATGCAGGTGAGAAAAGTCAGTTCACCGTCTATTTAAATCATACCAGCGGTTCTACGTCTACCAATGATAAAAATATAAATAAGGCTTCAACCAATCCAAATGTCGCAAGAGTTGCCAAATCCAATGTTCGTTTAGGCACAAAGCCATTCCACAATTTTATAGCTAGTCAACAACAACGACTACTATTAGTATCAAATTTTGCACCTCCAGTTAATAGATTGTATAAAAAAGTCGCAGCATTAGCAGATACAGTTAATATGCCAGTTTCGGCTACCAGAGATCCGGCAGCAACAGCTACTGGACCAAGAAGCACCACATTGTCATCAGCGGTTAAAGTGAAAACAAAACCCGAATTAATGAGCACAGCTAGTGTAGCTGTACCACCACAACAAAACCTACAAATAGCAACAGCAGCAACAAAACACCATTAACACCAACAAAACAGCAATGTACGTCAACGGGGTATGAGTATAATATATATAAAAATAGTATAAATACTTACAAGTCATTTCACAAACAATAGTAATTTAAGTAGCGAGCAAAAGAGAAAACAAAGCCAAAAAAGATTTCATTGTAAAAATAATGCTAAGCACAATTTCCATTTATTGCGCATACTATTACACATATATACATACAATTGTATATGTGCATTCATACCCATATACATATATACATATGTACGTACATAATGGCTGACTTCGAAAACGTCAATTGCAATATATAAGGCAAAGTAAAATGTTCTGTATTGTTTTTACAACGCATTAAACCGGCAGTCGATGCACAAAACCAAAGAAAGTAACGTATCACAAATAAAGTTGATGCTTTTTTACATTTTCATACAACATTTTCAACGATCGCGGAGTCAAATTGTATAACTTGTTATTAGGTGTTTTATTAATATATTCTTAATTTGCATTATATTCAGATATTATGGCAAATGATGTACTTATGATAACAAGAATATAATATATTTCGCTATATAAACGGAAAAAATTATTTATAATTACCATAAATTATTTGGTTTTATTCTTAACATATTTTATCTGTTTACGCTCGCATAAAAAACTTTATTGTGAAAGTAAACTTTGCAGTAAAAGTGTTCTGTAACGTCAAATTATACAACGCGTCATTTTGAAATATTGTTTGACGTTGCACACGAAGATTTACATATAAATACTGTAGTCATACTGTATCGATACTTTACAGTAAAACGTTTTCGAAGTCAGCCGATCGGTAATACCGACATAAAGCAAAAACACTCTGAAATACCAAAAAGCAGCAATCGCTACGTGATCGCTAATTAAATTTACGATTATCCGTTTTACATCCCAAAAGATAATAAATCCCTACAGAAATTGGCTTTTTAGCAGACCCTATCACTTATCTTACAGTCGTTTTCGATTCACCATATCTTTATATCATTATTTACAGCTTTTTCCAAATTTAAGGCATACTTTTATAAACAATTTTTATACTCTTGCAACATGTTGCTACAGAGTATAATAGTTTTGTTCACCTAACGGTTGTTTGTATCACCTAAAAGTAATCGAGTTAGATATAGGGTTATGTATATATAAATGATAAGGATGACGAGACGAGTTGAGATCCGGATCTTTGTCTGTCTGTCCGCCCGTCTGTCCATGCAAGCTGTAACTTGAGAAAATCGTAATGAAACTTTGTACACGTGTTCTTTGGCAAAAAAGTAAGCATAAGTACGTACATGGGCGTAATCGGACCACTGCTACGCCCACCACACGAAATTGAAAATTTTAAAAAATTAAAAAAAAAAATAGGTTTTATGTATGTAACTATCACCCAAACCATTCCAGCTATACCCCCCTAATTTGCACAGGACAAATCATTTCAACACTTCTTGCGACAGTGTTAAAATTGGTGAAATTTGTTGATAACCACGCCCATATAACGGTTTTGTTAAAAACTACTAAAAGTGAGATAAATCATAACTAAATGCGTCACAGACATTAAATTTTACATCCAGGATGGTACTAGAGGGCTTTATAGATGCTGATGGACCATGGGCGTGGCACCGCCTTCCTTTAGGTCAAATCGAATATCACCGGACCCACTCCACCAATTTGAATTAAATTTGGTAGAAATCGGACTGCAACCACACCTACTTCCCATGTAACACAACTTTAAATTCCATCTGATTTTTCCACTTTCCAGTATACAAATCAAGCATCAATTAATTTATCGGGATAAAAACTTGCACGAATATTGCATTTAAAGTATGCCATCTCAAGTCTAAAAATTGTCAAAATCGGGCAATAACTATTCAAGCCCCCGATACCGGAAATATAGACCCCAGAGTCTGACATTTTACCTAAAAAACCGCTTAATGTTTTATATATTTTATTGAAGTTAGGAGAGAAATTTCCTGACAATAGTATGTCTGTATGTCAGAAATGGGTTAAATCGAGTCAATTTTCCCTTAGCTCCTATATACCTAATAGAAAGATTTTCGAACTTCCGGTTGACTTTATAGCCCATATATCGGCCATAATGTGAGTTATCTTAGTTAAATTGAGTTGCACCCTTGTACTTAAAATGGATCAAATCGGGTGAAAACTTGCTCTAGCCCCCATATAACTAATATCAGGATTCTCAAACATTCGGTTATCTTTACGCAATATATATTGGTGATGAGGTACCTTAATGAAACTCCAAGAGCGTTTGTTTCTGTTAATAATATGTAGTAATGCCAAAAATTGATAAAATACAACACCTAACCTCCCCAGAGATAAACTCCGACTCCTTGTCGCGCTCTACACTGGGCACTGTAGGCTCAAGAAACACCTGTCAAACATGGGCATGGCTTCTTGTGGCAACTGCCGATTCTGCGACATGGGGCCGGAAACACCAGAACACCTGATTCTATATTGTACCGCAATTTGTAGACGCAGGCTCAAGGCCCTCGGTTCCATTTATGTGAACAGGGATCACATTGCCTTAATAGCACCCAGCAAGTTGTTGGAGTTTTTCAGGGTGCTGGGACTTTGGGAATGCATGTGATGGAGGAGAAGGCACAATAGACCCTGGGTCGCAGTGCAAACCTCACATTCATATTCTATTCTATTCTATCTCCCCTATACCTAGTAAAAGATTTTCAAACTACCGGTTGGCCTTATATCGTATATATCGGTCAATATGTAAGATATCTTAGTAAAATTAACTGAACGTATAATATTGGATATGTGAAATTATATTATCCTACATATAATAATTTCCGTTATTCTAACAAACCCTCAACAATTCCGAACTTCGGGTTGACGTTTTGCACACCAACTCAATAAATTAAATTTAGTCTCTTCGGGTAAGTTTATGTTATATATATCTCATTTGGAGGATTATTGTAATATAATTTTCGCTGACGCGAAGTAAGATCTTGTAATAAAGCTAAGTGAGCCTATGACCTTTGTTATAAGTTAATAAGATCCAATTTGATTGTAATTCATTTCGTCGTATAATGAATGTTGAATTATTACGCAAAATTTTTTTATATGAAGTTTTGCCAAGACCCACCGGCTTTGATCCTTGCAAGTTGAAAGAGTATGAAATAATCGGTTACAGACCATCCTTATTTATTTTATATATAATATTAAATTTAAAGACATTGTTCATGCAATAAGTACAATATACTCGTATTTGTTCTCTTTTTATGTTATGAATTAATAATTTTTATAAGTAGTGGAAAACGATGCCTTGATATTCAGTCCAAATAACCCATCAGCAAAAACAAATATTAATCATCGAAAATCACTTTATTGTTTTCCAAATATTCTTCATTAATATCTATACACTTTTGCATATGTTTGAACCAATTTTCGAATCACTTTGGCCTCTCTGAGGTATCTCCAAAACATGCATTATGATCGTATAAATGGTCAGCGTGACGAGCTGTGTCCATTTAGCTACATCCGTCTGTATATACGCGAACTAGTCCCTCAGTTTTTGAGATATCGATCTGAAATTTACCACACGTCCTTTTCTCTTCAGTAAGCTGTTCATTTGTCTTATCCGCCGATAACGGACCACTATAGGGTATAGCTGCCATACAAACTGAACAATCAAATTCAAGTCCTGTATGGAAAACATTTTTATTTGACGAGATATCTTCACAAAATGGCATAGATTAATATCCAAGCAAGAGCTACAATCATCGAACAAATGGTTCAGATTGGACCACTATAAAATTGAAGTTTTACATTAAATTTCCGTAAAGCTTGCAGCTGCTGTTATCTAACCCCTTAATATGTCCATAAGGTCGCACATCCACTTGTACATTAAATTCTCCGATTATAATCACAATTAGAATAGACAAGACAAAAAACAATATCTTAAAATGATTATAATTATAAATTGACATCGAACCGGTAACATACAAAATGATAATCAGATGCCAAACTATTACAAGATTGATAAAACTTTCAATAAAAATTTTAAATATTTATTCTGATGCTGGTTTCACCTAACAAGAGGTATGTTCAGAGAAAAAGGAGAATTTTGATTTTTTGCGGGCTGCGAACATTCGATTATCGATATTTTGTTATGTTATAATCGGACACATATGTTTATCATGTGCTGGCATTAGGAGCCAATTTCGATTAGTAGTTTGTTTTTGACAACAAAATAGGTTAGTCACGTCTTGTGTGCTCTTCAATTTTTGACTTTTGAAAGAAACACATGCCATTCAATTTTCTCGAATGTTTTGGGCATGAAACGTGTGGCAACGAAGTTTGTTCGGAAATTGCTAAGTTTTGTCGCATTAGTATCGCTTAGGAGGGCCAAAAACAAAACCGTAATCATCCATGAACAACCGTATTCACGAAATTTGGCTCCCTGCGACTTTTTCCTATTGGACCAAGTGTATTATATCCGAGGGGGAATACTTTGAAGGGGACAAAATAGATATTGATAAATAAATTAGTAGTTAAAAAAAATGCAAAACTCACATTTTCCTTTGAACACACCTCGTATATAGTGTTGAATGTTGTCGAAGACACGATATTCTTACCTACGCAGCAAATAGTTAATGTAATCGCCAATAAATATTCAGTGATTGCCACTATCAAATTGTGTACTGAATACCTAATCAAGAAACCATACTATATAAGCTGTCTTCGATACGCCATTTTTCTACCCGCTATCTTTACGCAAAAGAATTATAAGTAAAAGCAAAAACAAAGTTATCAATAAAGTGGTTAACCGCTATCTTCAATGTTACCTAGTTTTGTTTTGAATATTTTACATCAGTTTTACTATTGTGAATAGCTTATGTTTAATGACAAATTAAAATACAAATTTCTTTTTATTCTCAAATTTTAAAAACTTTAGACTTAAAATCGGTTATAACAGGGATTAATAAAACGTTTTTGGTACGGAAAACATAATTTCAGAAGAAATCGTAGCACGATTCCGCATGAGTCAAGGAGCATGGGTTGCATTGCCTGTTTGTTTGAACATCTCGGATAGTTTCCTCGATTAGCTATGCTCTAACGCTTGGCGAATCGAAAGCAACTATAATCACTCTCAAAAATTATAACAGATAGATTCTCAAAGGAAACATATGAATCAAATGTATGTCTATAGCCGTCGCGTATGTTGGCATGAGTGAATTAAGTCGACAACATGGTAAAAGTGAACAACGAAGATTCGAATGCTAAAATCTACATGGCCCCAATCGTTTCATAATCATCCTATCTTATCTATTTGCCTATTTTTGCTACACTCAAATTTATCTTTTGTTTATATAACGGTCAACATTTCTTCATTCTGCAAAAAAGCTTTGAGGGCAATATGTGACTGTTTATAAATGGACGTCATTCATTTGAATTTTACGTTTTGCTAGGTTTTTTTTAAATGATCCATATATTTAGCGACTTTTTGCGAGACAGCATAAAATGTACCATATCCGAGCTGTCCTCTATTACATATTGTTTGCAATACGGTTTTTAGTAAGAAATTTATTTCAATACTTTTTATTGGTTTTTAATTTTTGCTTCTCATCCTCACACATACAAATGTTCATCCCCACCTCCAAAAAAAAAATTAATTAATGAAAAAGGATATGAAGTAACGTAAACAAATCGAACATACACATATGTACATATGTTCAAAGTCACAATCTTAATCTAATAATATGAGATATAAAGAACCATAATTTTTTTAATATTAAAATATATTATTAATAATGATTAGCACCTACATTTACATACATACACACAAAGGATAAGTGTCTGGTGCCGTTGTTGCAAATAAACTTGAAACTACTCAAATTTGCTTTATTTTCCTTCTTCCAATAGTATATATAGGTACATATATATTTTTGATTTATATAAAAAACCTAAACAAAAAAGCAACAAACACGGATTAGCTGTATGGGGAGTAATATGATATAAAAATGTGCATAAATTAAGTATAAAATTGAAAATAAAACAGAGTATTAAACTAATAAAGAACTGTTTTCAATCTATCAAAACTTCATTTTCTTTAATTTATTAATGAATACACCCTTTTTTCGGAAGGCAAGATCTATTTTTTTTATTTGTATATATTTTGAATTCGGAAGAAAAAGTATATCGGTGTCTCTATTCAAAAAGCGAAAGTAAAAAAACCCATTCCATACTTGTTCGATCTAGAGAATTGGACGTAGTCGGACTTTCTCATCTCCTATGTTTTCATAGGATCAATGGTTCTGATTCCACGGTATGCATTCTCGATTGATCTTCCAATGAGAAGGTTTGGATCTAAATGGAATATATGGTAGTTTTCTTATTGATCTAAGATCAGTACTTCCTTTTCACCCTTTACTTCCGAGTGAAAATAAGTAATTCAATATCGCTATTGTCCGAATAGATAATCTATGTCTTCTTAGATCCATGCCACTAAAGTGGATGTACTAATAGCTCTTTGGGTGTAATAACTCTTGCATAATCAGCTGCATTATGAGCGGAACTAATGTGATGACATTGGGCACGCGAAAGTTCCAGGCGTGGTATGGTAGCAGGCTTGTAAGGTGTCACCTTAGATAGACGTCTTCGAGGAAATAACCGCTGCATACGTGTGAATTATTATCGCAAAAGCCATCATTTCCACCCACCGTTCTATGCGAACTTTATTGAGCTCTGGAAGCAATGACTTAATTTATTGGCGGCAAAATCGTCAGGCAAAGTCGAAAAATTAAGGATGATCTACCCTACTTATCTCATTCATAATACTAAATCTTTAATCCTACCAACAACTTTTTAAATTACGCAATTGTTAGAAACTTTAATATAAAATTAATAAAACAAAATAAAAAACCTTAACTTCAGTTGCACCGAAGCTATAATACCCTTCATAAATAAAAGTTTCCATACAAGAACTTGATTTTTATCGGTCAGTGTGTATTGTAATACATGCAAAACTTCATGAAGGTATCTCGCAAATAAAAAAGATCTCCAAGCAAGGACTTAATTTTGATCGTTTGTACGGCAGCTATATGTTATAGTAGTCTGAAAACAGCGGTTCCGACAAATGAGCATATACTGGGTAAGAAAAGGACGTGTGCAATTTTAATTTCACTATGATCACTACAAAGAAATGTTTAATCAATAATTTTCAAATTTTTAAGTAATGTTAAAATTTAAATCCCGTAAATACCGCCAATAACGTTTTCATCTTTATTCGTAAATAATAATTTCACTGTAGTGAACAGCTTACTATAATATAATTCAATTATACCGACGAATATTTACTTGAACATGAGTATTTCGTGTGGCGCTAATATAACAGATAAATATGCTAGTATGTGGCATTTTATATGGGTAATTCCATCCGAAATTTACATTCAAAATTTTCGTGCAAAACATTTTTTTGGAGGTTCTTTATGGCAAAATATTGGACACGTATCTTTTTATTTCGACACAAGTTGAAAAACTTTGGAGCTAAGAATTTTTAAAATTTCAACGTTAGAAAAAAGTACCCTTAAACATTTGCGTATACGAAGAAAATTATTTAAATATACAAATAACTAGCCTAATGTTCACTGATTTTTCTCAGCTTTTCAATGAGATGTACGTTGAATTTATTCGACTTTTTTTAATAGACAGAAGCTACACCTTTTTCAATTTGGAAATATTTTTATTCAGTTTTTTTTTGTGTACATAAATTAAGTAAAAAAAACAAGATTGCATTCATATACATAGCAATTGTCATCTTCAAAGTCTGCCAATAAATGTTTTCATTCAGCTGAAATCACAATTATTCTCTGCACTGTCGTTTGAATTCCAGTCAAATTGCTTCAACTTCCGCGACTCCTTGTCACAATGCAAACAACTTTCTGTATGAAATAAGCTGTGAGCAAATGTCTTTACATGAAGCTGAATTTTTTCCGTTTTCCTTCTAGGTATTTTTTTTTATTTCCCTAGTTAGTGGAGCATTTGCCAGAGCGACAAAAATTAATATATTTGATGTAAGAGAGCTTTATTTTAGTTTTCAAGGGAGCTTTATTTTTTTTTTTCTGTTGTATTGGGTGTATGCACTAATTCGTGCGGTTTACTGGTGGTCTGGAGGTGTCATGAATTCAAATATTATTAGTTTGATGTTCGAAGCAGATATTGTGTCGGTTTTGGTTGTCATGGAAATTAATTTTATCGGTTTTGTTAGCAAAAACAAAGAAAGAAGATAATCGCAGACAGATTTGATATGTAAGTTGAGAAATTAATTAATTTTACGAACTAACGTATTTCTATTTTTAAAGGGGAACAAATAAGAATAGAACACCAAATGCCATAATTCTTGGGTTTATAAAAAAAGTCAAGTTTTTTTAGAAAAATTACAAATCGTAATTTAACCCCACAAACAAAAGCAACTTTATTCAGGCGATAATGAAATATAAATCTGTTAAGTAAGCAAGTAAATAAAAACAAGCATACAGGTAAATGCAGGCTAAAATTCACGTACGATTCCCTCCGGACATCAAGTTAATTATTGATCTCTTAAAATCTTACTTTTAATATTTCGTTGCTTTCTTCCTCCAATAAAATAAAGGATAAAATTGCGGAATGAATTGCTTCCAAATTTATTGATTTACAAGTTTTGTCACATTAGCAAACAGCTGATTCGAAATTGGTTTTGCTTATGTTCGAAAAGACTAAAATCCAACTAGACTCTATTGCACCATTGAAAATCAGAATTGGTTTGCAATTCCGACAATTACGCAAATCTGTATTCGGTTCCACAACACCCCTGGTTATGTTTTCAGATATTATTGGTTTGTTGTGTGAACAAAAATTGTATCGGTTTTGGGTATCAACGTAACCAATTTTACCAGTTTTGTTATTAGAAACACAGCAAGAAGATAGTTGCTGATAAACCTGAATATGGCATTTTTTTCAGTTTGGTGTGTTGTTAGTCGTTTGAAAAAATTTTAGTTAAGAAATCAATTTAGTTTATTTATTTTACTACGAATTAACTTATCTTTATTTCTATAGGGGAAAATAGAACGCAAAATGCCATAATTATTGAGTTTATGGAAAAAAATTTAGATATTTTAAGAGGATTTACCGAACATAATATGCCGCTTGTATAAGTTAAAGTTAATGATATTACCAATTAATTGTTTGCACGACTTCTTCCGTTCGCCGTCTAATTTATTCTGCTCGTTGCTTTTTTTATATTCTACTCATCATGCTCGTCAAGCTCAGCTTCAATGTTAATGAGTGAACCGATTTCCAAAAATCCGCATTACGGTTGACGCTGATAATACTCCAACCAAAACAGGTTTTATGCTATGATTGCATTCGCTATTATTAATTATATCTTATTAAGCGCAAAGCAAGCCACTCATAGTAAAAAGAGAATTTCAGAATTTCGCATATCACCATAACTTAGATACGTTATGTCGGGAGTTAACACAATCCGTCAAAGCTGCAGGGTCTTCACATAAGTGTGCAAAAATTATTGCAATCATGGACTAGCTGTCATATTACGTATGCACACATACATTTCTCGGATATTTCTGTTTCTTTAATTAGGTGTTGTCGTGCTCTTGCATATTTTGTTATAGGATTCCATATTGTGCAACCGTACAATCTTGCTAGAGCAAGAGATAAATGCCTGCAATAGAATAAATTTTTGTAAACGTGGTATAATATTTTAGTTTATAAATTGAGTTTGGCAACACTGTTATGTGTGATGAATTAAAATAGAGTCCACATGTTGCCGCCATATTTATACGAAGTGTTTTCTGCTGTATTTGATCGGAAAAGCTTATAGTTCGTGTTTTTTGTGTTTTTTTTGTTACGCTTTGAGTCAGATTTGTTTTTCTTCACTCATGTTAATTTACCGCATTTTTCTCATAAAACGAGCGTTATAATAATGATGTGTTTACTGTAAAAATTCTCGAATTGTGATGTGTCGCCTTATTTCATTTTAGGGGATTATTTTCCTACTAACGCTGTTTATATGAAGTACATCGTCGCGTCGTTCCTTTAAGTGAAATTTTATTCATCATAGCCGGCGTGATATTGTTTAACGTATAAAATTGCCGGATTTTTTCACCAACCATACATATGAGCCATACGAAACATCGGATTAAAGAAGTTTCTAAAATGTAAGCAAAACGTATTATTGTGTATGAGAAAAGCTCGTTAAAAATTTCTGTTAGATTAAGTAAATTAGAGATAAATGCAGTTGTCAAAATGGGCGATTTGTAACATGATTACCTGTGTTTTGAGTACTACGTAGGCGCAAATCTTGATTTATGGATGTGTGTTTACTACAAAACACAAAAACGCCAAGTTATTGAAAAACGAAAATCTGATCAAATTAGAGTTTTAAAAGGTTTAGCGAATGTCACTGGGTAAATTTTAGAACAGCATACCCACCAAATCGAGGTTAAACTGGGTTTATACGGAATGAGGAAGTTATCCAGATTAAGAAAATATAAATTCAACTAATTAACAACGATAGGCACCAAGAAATCTTGGTAAATGTATAGTTTAGATCCCCCTTTAACGCACTTTGCACATATTTTTGAAGTAACTTCGTTGTTTTTGCTGTAGCTGCAAAATTCTGCAGAATTCAGATCACTTAGCTGTAATTACCAGTTCAGCGAGTTAAACATGGGTGGGCTTTAGTTTAGCATCCCACGATTTCAGGGTTAAGAGGGGTATGGTTGGATAAAGGAGATTCTCCAGATCAGGAATATATATAATTATTGCCTTACTTTACACTAATTACTTTGCACTTATTATACACTAATTTTTCACTTCAATGTTTCTACATATTTATTTTATATTAAATATTTAAGTATTTGCTTTAAATAAGCATTAAATTTTTACACAATTTTCGTAATATGAACAATAACAAATGGGTTCCATGTTGTCAGATAATAAGTGTTGCCATATCTATTATATATATATTTTGAAAGCGAATTAAAATGAACAATAAAAGAGGATTATACCCCAAATACATGAACTATAATTTTGTTCATTCCCTTCTATTGATAAATTATGGTATTGGATTAGCCAGGGTTATTTTTAAAGTGCGGCCGAAGGCCGCCAGTGCAGAAAGGAGTTTGACGCGATTGAATTATCAACACCCCGGTGTTCGACCGACCAGGGTTATTTTTTTGAAGCGCGGCCGAAGGCCGCCAGTGCGGAAAGAAGTTTGACGCGATTGAATTATGAACACTCCGGTATCAAAATATTTTTCGCGCAGAACTTGAAAAAGTGAAAAATATAAGTGTATAATTCATTTTCCCGCGGCTATATCTATATATATTCTTGATCTGGAGGATCTTCTCTCTCCGCCCATACCCATTTTATCCCCAAAAGCCTGGGACGTTATTCTAAAGCCGACCCAAAGAATGATTTACATATTGAAATAAAGCTATTGTTGCATCATATAAAATAAAAAAAAAATTTCTAAAAACGAATTAGTGAAGTATTAGTGGATATAAAAGTGAAAAATATAAGTGTATAATTCATTTTAAATCGAAAAAATACGTACTTTAAATAGTTGAAATTTTCAACTTTAAACGTAAATATCTCGAAATCTATAAGTTTCCCGCCATATCTATATATGTATATTCTTGATCTAGAGGATCTCCTCTATCCGCCCATACCCATTTTATCCTCGAAAGCCCGGGACAGTATACTAAAGCTGACCCAAAAATAACCCTGGTCAGTCCAAAACTGGTTTCTCAAGAGAAGGGGAAATACTAAAAGATATATTATTGTACATCACCGATAATGGTTCGCGTAGGATATAATGTTTCTTTTCGTTCGTTTGGAAAATATAGTATTACTAGGCGCCCTCCGCTGCGCTCCGGGACACTCGCTTCGCTCGCTCGCCTACGTCTGCCCCCGCCAAGCGCGAGCTAGCTCGTTCTTATGTTAGTTGATTCTCGACAGCAGCAGAAAACTTTTATATATATATAATAGAGAGATTTGTCAGTATGCAACCGTTTTGTTTCAATAAATATAATTGAACATTAAGTTAAATATTGAATAAAAGCTATTTTTGTACTATATAATGTGGAATAAATGCGTACAAACGAATTAGTGAAGTGTTAGTGGATATAAACGTGAAAAATATAAATGTAAAATTAATTTTAATCGAAACGAGACACACATTCAATAGTTGAAATTTTCAGCTTTAAACGCAAATGTCTCGTAAACTATAACTTTCCCCATATATATATATATATATATTCATTTATTATATTATTTATACACTGGTAGACCTCATCAGTAGAGCAGATGTGACTTGGTGAAGATAGTTTATAGGCCAGTGACTTACAGAATTTACACTGCACCTTTTCAACTTTATCGATTGTCGTGTTAGTGTAGGGAGACCAGATTACCGAACTATATTCCAAAATTGGTAGTACAAGTAACTTGAATCAATGACTTCACCATCACGTATGGATGAGTGAAGCCAGGATTCTGAAATACATACAACGTCGTACTGGTTAGCCGCTAATGCTGTTTGAAATGTTGAGAGTTTTGTACGCAGACCTCTGACGTTCTGGTAGCACAGGTGGACGTAAGATACTTTCTTCTTGGAATTCAGGAATATTTAGGGCAATCACGTTGGTTTCACGGCGTTTTCGTTCCGACAGTTCAGTGAAAAACTCTTCCTGGCTGGTAGACAGCCTCATATCTACGTTTAGCTTGTCTTCAACTGATGCAAGTTTGTCATCCAGGGCAGAACATTGATTTGATAGCGAGACGTTTTGTTCTGACAGTTTGCTTACCTCTTTTCTTAAGTCCTTGATTTCACTTACAACTAATTTTTTTAGGTCCCTGAACTTACGTTCATTATTTGTTGTAAAACGTTCAAAATGTCTCTTGAGTAAGGTTTCAATATCCTTTGACGGTGGCGGATCATCTGATGCCTCCTCATCGGAATCCAATACATCACATGTCTTAACACTAATGTCACTTGCACATGAGTCACAGTTCCAAACTGTTTCTTTTTTCTTAATGCTGTTGGCGATGGATTTAAATTCATCGGATGAAAGGTTGGTGCACTTTGAGTGAAACCAACGTCGACAAGCCGCACATTGAATACTTGGCTGCGTTTTATCCCGGATTATGTCTGAGCAATAACCACAAATCTGTTGTGTTGTATTTACT